ATTATATTACTTGTGGCCAAGTGATTCTTGATGCTATAGCAGTGTTATGTGAAACTGTGGCTATTTTTATAAAGTGTTAGAATCTGTGATAGTATTTATTCTTACGCTTTGTAAGTTGGGTTTTGTTATTTCTAAACTAAATATTTTATCTTGTTTAATCTAGTGTTCTGCCACAACTTTGTTCACTTATTAAAAGTTGTATGCAGATTGAATGAGTTGTTAACTTCAATAGTTTCACTAGTTTTCCCTAGACCTCGAAATCGAGCCCTAGTGAGTTGTTGAGTTAGTAGCCATTCATTTAGGCTTTAGGTCATTTGCATATAACCCTAAGAAAGAATCCGGGAGCGTTCACCATCTATCTGGCTGGTAGATAGGTGTCCGTTACAAGAGACATGAAGATAGCCAGGTGTAGACATGAGGTGAGAGACATGAAGATAGCCAGGTGTAGACATGAGGTGAGAGACATGAAGATAGCCAGGTGTAGACATGAGGTGAGAGACATGAAGATAGCCAGGTGTACCTGTAAACATGAGGTGAGAGACATGAAGATAGCCAGGTGTAGACATGAGGTGAGAGACATGAAGATAGCCAGGTGTAGACATGAGGTGAGAGACATGAAGATAGCCAGGTGTATACATGAGGTGAGAGACATGAAGATAGCCAGGTGTAGACATGAGATGAGAGACATCAAGATAGCAGGGTGTACCTGTAGACATGAGGTGAGAGACATGAAGATAGCCAGGTGTAGACATGAGATGAGAGACATGAAGATAGCCAGGTGTACCTGTAGACATGAGGTGAGAGACATGAAGATAGCCAGGTGTAGACATGAGATGAGAGCCATGAAGATAGCCAGGTGTAGACATGAGGTGAGAGACATGAAGATAGCCAGGTGTAGACATGAGGTGAGAGACATCAAGATAGCAGGGTGTACCTGTAGACATGAGGTGAGAGACATGAAGATAGCCAGGTGTAGACATGAGATGAGAGACATGAAGATAGCCAGGTGTAGACATGAGGTGAGAGACATGAAGATAGCCAGGTGTAGACATGAGGTGAGAGACATGAAGATAGCAGGGTGTACCTGTAGACATGAGGTGAGAGACATGAAGATAGCCAGGTGTAGACATGAGATGAGAGACATGAAGATAGCCAGGTGTAGACATGAGGTGAGAGACATGAAGATAGCCAAGTGTAGACATGAGGTGAGAGACAGGAAGATAGCCAGGTGTACCTGTAGACATGAGGTGAGAGACATGAAGATAGCCAGGTGTAGACATGAGGTGAGAGACATGAAGATAGCCAGGTGTAGACATGAGGTGAGAGACATGAAGATAGCCAGGTGTAGACATGAGGTGAGAGACATGAAGATAGCCAGGTGTAGACATGAGGTGAGAGACATGAAGATAGCCAGGTGTAGACATGAGGTGCGAGACACGAAGATAGCCAGGTGTACCTGTAGACATGAGGTGAGAGACATGAAGATAGCCAGGTGTACCTGTAGACATGAGGTGAGAGACATGAAGATAGCCAGGTGTACCTGTAAACATGAGGTGAGAGACATGAAGATAGCCAGGTGTAGACATGAGGTGAGAGACATGAAGATAGCCAGGTGTAGACATGAGGTGAGAGACATGAAGATAGCCAGGTGTATACATGAGGTGAGAGACATGAAGATAGCCAGGTGTAGACATGAGATGAGAGACATCAAGATAGCAGGGTGTACCTGTAGACATGAGGTGAGAGACATGAAGATAGCCAGGTGTAGACATGAGATGAGAGACATGAAGATAGCCAGGTGTACCTGTAGACATGAGGTGAGAGACATGAAGATAGCCAGGTGTAGACATGAGATGAGAGCCATGAAGATAGCCAGGTGTAGACATGAGGTGAGAGACATGAAGATAGCCAGGTGTAGACATGAGGTGAGAGACATCAAGATAGCAGGGTGTACCTGTAGACATGAGGTGAGAGACATGAAGATAGCCAGGTGTAGACATGAGATGAGAGACATGAAGATAGCCAGGTGTAGACATGAGGTGAGAGACATGAAGATAGCCAGGTGTAGACATGAGGTGAGAGACATGAAGATAGCAGGGTGTACCTGTAGACATGAGGTGAGAGACATGAAGATAGCCAGGTGTAGACATGAGATGAGAGACATGAAGATAGCCAGGTGTAGACATGAGGTGAGAGACATGAAGATAGCCAAGTGTAGACATGAGGTGAGAGACAGGAAGATAGCCAGGTGTACCTGTAGACATGAGGTGAGAGACATGAAGATAGCCAGGTGTAGACATGAGGTGAGAGACATGAAGATAGCCAGGTGTAGACATGAGGTGAGAGACATGAAGATAGCCAGGTGTAGACATGAGGTGAGAGACATGAAGATAGCCAGGTGTAGACATGAGGTGAGAGACATGAAGATAGCCAGGTGTAGACATGAGGTGCGAGACACGAAGATAGCCAGGTGTACCTGTAGACATGAGGTGAGAGACATGAAGATAGCCAGGTGTACCTGTAGACATGAGGTGAGAGACATGAAGATAGCCAGGTGTAGACATGAGGTGAGAGACATGAAGATAGCCAGGTGTAGACATGAGGTGAGAGACATGAAGATAGCCAGGTGTAGACATGAGGTGAGAGACATGAAGATAGCCAGGTGTAGACATGAGATGAGAGACATCAAGATAGCAGGGTGTACCTGTAGACATGAGGTGAGAGACATGAAGATAGCCAGGTGTAGACATGAGGTGAGAGACATGAAGATAGCCAGGTGTAGACATGAGGTGAGAGACATGAAGATAGCCAGGTGTAGACATGAGGTGAGAGACATGAAGATAGCCAGGTGTAGACATGAGGTGAGAGACATGAAGATAGCCAAGTGTAGACATGAGGTGAGAGACATGAAGATAGCCAGGTGTAGACATGAGGTGAGAGACATGAAGATAGCCAGGTGTAGACATGAGGTGAGAGACATGAAGATAGCCAAGTGTAGACATGAGGTGAGAGACATGAAGATAGCCAAGTGTAGACATGAGGTGAGAGACATGAAGATAGCCAGGTGTAGACATGAGGTGAGAGACATGAAGATAGCCAGGTGTACCTGTAGACATGAGGTGAGAGACATGAAGATAGCCAGGTGTAGACATGAGGTGAGAGACATGAAGATAGCCAGGTGTAGACATGAGGTGAGAGACATGAAGATAGCCAGGTGTACCTGTAGACATGAGGTGAGAGACATGAAGATAGCCAGGTGTAGACATGAGGTGAGAGACATGAAGATAGCCAGGTGTAGACATGAGGTGAGAGACATGAAGATAGCCAGGTGTACCTGTAGACATGAGGTGAGAGACATGAAGATAGTCAGGTGTAGACATGAGGTGAGAGACATGAAGATAGCCAGGTGTATACATGAGGTGAGAGACATGAAGATAGCCAGGTGTAGACATGAGGTGAGAGACATGATAATGGCCAGGTGTAGACAAGCGGGACACCACGCACACGCGTCAACTTTCTACCCTCCTCTCGCCCCCTCCCTGCCTCTCAAAGCATGCGGAACAGGGTGAAGACTTCTTGAGAGACACAGTTGTCCAAGTGTGGTGGGTTAGTCCCTACGGGTCGGGTCGTGTGATATATAAATATATATATATACACGAGAAAAATGGCCCGTTTAGGAAGGATACAACGGGCGCTAGGTTGATAGTGTTGTCTCTTTTCTCTAAACCAAAGCCAAAGCCACCACCTTAACTTCAAATTGAACCAGAAACGAAAAATGACATTGAAAACGGATTGTTATCCAGAATCGGCATTTTTATTGGATTTAAGCTTGTTCTAAACGTAGTTAGTGCGCATTGATACTTAATATAGTCGTATCCATACCCCTAAACCTAGCAATTAGTCTCAATCATGACAAAAGTCCCATTTAGAGTTTTTTTCAGGCAACTCTACTTGTGGGGAGGGATTCCCGCCACCCCCCCCCCACCCACACACCCCAAGGCACGTCTACCGTCCCGTTCAACGAAATAGAATTATATACTTTTATCAGTGTCCGCCCCCTCTCAGAAAATTTAGTCCATCCATACCCCCGCAAATTTCAAGTGCCCCCCCCCCCTTTGGGGGAGGAAAAAGTCTGAAAGGAACAATTATCGCATTTGTAGATTATACAAACTAACGGTAGAGCATACTTCTAAAATATAAACTCATTTCCTACTTTCGGCCGATAAACCTCACTTACGTAGACAGTGTTTCTTTCAGACATTTTTCAGACATTTTTGCTGGGGCGAAAAAAATTTCCGGGTCGGGGGAAGCCGACACTGGTAAAAAGTATATATTTTCTATATAAATTATATTTCGTTTTTTTCGGAGTGGGGGGGGGGGGGGGGGGGGGGGGGAGAATTAGTCGTACCACCGAGGGGGGGGGGGGGGAGAAGGGGCTTTGCCCCTACCACAAGATAAATGATAGAAACTGTGCACACAAACCACTTTTAAGATTAGACACATGAATTAGGCCGTAATGTCAGACTTTTACTATAGAGTATCGATGACGTTATTTCTTATTAGGGGGGGGGGGGGGGTGGCGGCTTAAACGTTGTTGGGGGGGGGGGGGGGTGAGGCTTCGTTCTACCCGAATAATTGCATGAAAGAAACTCTGCACGCAAACGACTTTTAAGATTAGACAAAATTGGCTTTTTAATTCAATGTTTACTCGAGAATCAATGACGTCATATTACTGTGTGCACTCTCCTTGGCTTTCGACTGTTTTCTACTATATGCTCCATGTGACGTCACGTTTCGTTTTTCGAATTCCTATGCATGTTTTTACTCTGCTTGTGTTTTCTTCATTGCGTTCTTGACAGATACACAGACAGACAGCGAAACTATTATATATATATATATATATATATATATATATATATATATATATATATATATATATATATATATATATATATATATATATATATATATATATATACTTTGTTTCTTTAACCACCTACCTCCCAGCGAAACGGCTGAATGATGGTTAACCACTTTCTGTCTGCGGGGTCCGGCAGCTTCATCATGACGCTGGTGTAGTCCACGAAGTACGGGAAGGTGAAGTCCATGACTCGCTCCCTCATCTCGTGAATTGTGAGTGGGGCGGCCACCAGGTCCACTTCCTGGTGAGATCATGTTGTCTAGTGGTCAGACCTACTGACCACATGCTCATATACTGGTGAGATCATGTTGTCTAGTGGTCAGACCTACTGACCACATGCTCATATACTGGTGAGATCATGTTGTCTAGTGGTCAGACCTACTGACCACATGCTCATATACTGGTGAGATCATGTTGTCTAGTGGTCAGACCTACTGACCACATGCTCATATACTGGTGAGATCATGTTTTCTAGTGGTCAGACCTACTGACCACATGCTCATATACTGGTGAGATCATGTTGTCTAGTGGTCAGACCTACTGACCACATGCTCATATACACTCATGACGGCTTCCGTCAAAAGGTTTTTTTTAAAATTCAGTTACGATCTCTTAGATACGCTTTTGTCACCAAAGACACGCTCCTTGCTCCACGCCAAACAGTCAAGCTTCCAATCAGAGACACATATCGTATCAAATACACACACCACTGGCACACACCTTTATCATAGACACGCCTTTCATAAACACGCCCTTCATGGACACGCATCTACCGACACACGCCCCTATACGACACATTCGAGACAAGCCTCTCCTCCCTACAGAGCTTCCCCCTTCCCAGAAACATCCAGACCTTTCTCTGCAGTTGGCCCATTAGTCCAGTGAAGGAGCCATTGTCCAGCAGACGGCCCCACTCGTCGTCTGCTGGCTCCACCATCTGAGACCTGCACGAGGACAAAACATGGGGCAGTGACGTCACGCTTGTCAGATACATGAAATGGCCGTCCCTGACGTACGCTGGTCAGTTTAACCAGAACTACAGTGGTCAGTGTAACCAGAACTAAAGTGGTCAGTTTAACCAGAACTACAGTGGTCAGTTTAACCAGAACTACAGTGGTCAGTTTAACCAGACTTACAGTGGTCAGTTTAACCAGAACTACACTGGTCAGTTTAACCAGACTTACAGTGGTCAGTTTAACCAGAACTACACTGGTCAGTTTAACCAGAACTAAAGTGGTCAGTTTAACCAGAACTACAGTGGTCAGTTTAACCAGAACTAAAGTGGTCAGTTTAACCAGAACTACGCTGGTCAGTTTATCAGAACTACAGTGGTCAGTTTAACCAGAACTACAGTGGTCAGTTTAACCAGAACTACAGTGGTCAGTTTAACCAGAAACTACGCTGGTCAGTTTATCAGACCTACAGTGGTCAGTTTAACCAGAACAACAGTGGTCAGTTTAACCAGAACTACAGTGGTCAGTATAACCAGAACTACAGTGGTCAGTTTAACTAGAACTACACTGGTCAGTTTAACCAGAACTACACTGGTCAGTTTAACCAGAACTACAGTGGTCAGTTTAACCAGGAGACTCACGTGAAATTGAGCGCTCGCTGAAGGTACTGAAGAACGTCCATGCAGAAACCGTCGTAAGTCGCTCGTCCATCCTCCACCGACTTGGTGACAAAGTGGAGCCACTGGTGACACAAAACATGGTCTAACATTGAGCCACTGGTGACACAAAACATGGTCTAACATTGAGCCACTGGTGACACAAAACATGGTCTAACATTGAGCCACTGGTGACACAAAACATGGTCTAGCATTGAGCCACTGGTGACACAAAACATGGTCTATCTTTGAGCCACTGGCGACACAAAACATGGTCTAACATTGAGCCACTGGTGACACAAAACATGGTCTAACATTGAGCCACTGGTGACACAAAACATGGTCTAACATTGAGCCACTGGTGATACAAAACATGGTCTAACATTGAGCCACTGGTGACACAAAACATGGTCTAACATTGAGCCACTGGTGACACAAAACATGGTCTAACATTGAGCCACTGGTGACACAAAACATGGTCTAACATTGAGCCACTGGTGACACAAAACATGGTCTAACATTGAGCCACTGGTGACACAAAACATGGTCTAACATTGAGCCACTGGTGACACAAAACATGGTCTAACATTGAGCCACTGGTGACACAAAACATGGTCTAACATTGAGCCACTGGTGACACAAAACATGGTCTAACATTGAGCCACTGGTGATACAAAACATGGTCTAACATTGAGCCACTGGTGACACAAAACATGGTCTAACATTGAGCCACTGGTGACACAAAGCATGGTCTAACATTGAGCCACTGGTGACACAAAACATGGTCTAACATTGAGCCACTGGTGACACAAAACATGGTCTAACATTGAGCCACTGGTGACACAAAACATGGTCTAACATTGAGCCACTGGTGACACAAAACATGGTCTAACATTGAGCCACTGGTGACACAAAACATGGTCTAACATTGAGCCACTGGTGACACAAAACATGGTCTAACATTGAGCCACTGGTGACACAAAACATGGTCTAACATTGAGCCACTGGTGACACAAAACATGGTCTAACATTGAGCCACTGGTGACACAAAACATGGTCTAACATTGAGCCACTGGTGACACAAAACATGGTCTAACATTGAGCCACTGGTGACACAAAACATGGTCTAACATTGAGCCACTGGTGACACAAAACATGGTCTAACATTGAGCCACTGGTGACACAAAACATGGTCTAACATTGAGCCACTGGTGACACAAAACGTGGTCTAGCTTTGAGCCACTGGTGACACAAAACATGGTCTAACATTGAGCCACTGGTGACACTATTACCTGTTTTGTTGAAACCACTAATGTTCGGTGGTTGAGGCCAAAGTTAATGTTAGGAAAGATGGCGTCGCCCCCCAGTAGGTCAATGTCAAGGCCAGCAGACACGAGCGCCACTGGCGTCAGGTGACGACTGTTGTTCCCGCCAAAATACAAGGTCCAGACCGTGGCGTGCAGGGGTCGCTGTTGGTAAAAGTTAAGAGATGCGTGTTGGTGTCTCGCCAAAGGTGCCGCGATTGAGTGTCATATGCCATGTTCGATGTGTCATATGCCATGTTGGATGTGTCATATGTCATGTGTCATTACTCACCGTGAAGACTTTGATAGTAGCCACGTTGTCCAAGTGATCCAAGAGTTCTAGGAAATCTTTCAGTTCGTTTTCAACAATCAGCCATTTTGTATGCATGTGTAAGGCAGTTGATTTGGCCCGTCTACAGTCATAAACATTGGCCTATTTACAGAGAATATTGAAATGCCTAAAATACTAGCTGCCACGGTGAATCTTTTTTAAATATACCAAATTGGGAACAGAACAAAACTGAACACAAACGCAAACACAAACACAAAAGAAAACGCAAACACAAAAGCAAACGCAAAAAAATACAAACGAATACGCAAACACAACACGCATAACATAAACACAACTTAAATGCAAACCCAAACGCATAGTGCTCACAGTCTAGCCCGGTGCGCCGAACCGCCTGATTCAACTTAGTAAACCCCTATACCGTATCCATAAAATAAGCAAGTGGCAGTTTTAAATATCCGTGTTTTACCTACCATATTGCACTTTATAAGTCCATGCTAATTATATTATCCCAATAATAATGCCCCCTTGGACATCCGCGGAATTTGCATTCACATTTTTACTATCTCGTATACAAAGCATAGAGAAAGTGTTATAATCGTGCAAAAATTATTCGAGATTTTTGCTAATCTCGACGTTTTACACCTCCCTGATTCGGAAAAACATAATTTTGCAATCTTGTCCGTATTTCTTTGAGGGTGTGTGTGTGTGTGTTTGTGTGTGTGTGTGTGTGTGTCTGTGAACACGATAACTTGAGTACCATTACAGCTAGGTTGATGAAATTTCAAATATAAGTATTATATCCAGTGGCGTAGCGAGGTCGGGTGTTACCCGGTGCGGCACTTAATGGTGTCACCCCCCCCCCCCCCCACCAGAGGCGTAGCGACTCTTCCCGGGGACAAACTTTCAAATTTTCGATTTGCACCCCCCTCCCTCAAACTTTCGATGTGCACCTCCCCCCTCGAACTTTCGATTTGCACCCTCCCCCTTCAATTTTTCTCTATATATTTTACTATTTTTTGCCTTGGTGTCACCCCCCTAAATGGTGTCATCCGGTGCGGTCCGATTATATCAAGTTTGTAGTTCTGTGTCAACTTTTTTCAGCTATTTCCGGTAACCGGAAGTGGGACTTATTCTAATTTCAATTTTTCAAAAGCCTATAGCTTGAGTACTGTTTCAGGTAGATAAATGAAATTCACTGGTAAGTAAATGATCTAATTCTCTGCCTTTTGTCAAAGTTTGAGTAATTTCCGTTGACCGGAAGTAGTAATTTACGCTATTTCCGGTTTCTCAAAAAACGCAAGTGAATTAATAAAGTAATAATAATACTCCGCACTATTATACAAAGATTTTTTTTTTTGCGTTCACTTGGTGCGCAATTCTTTTTCTACGAAATTCTATTCTACTTTAAAAAGTGTAAGTAATTAAAAATGGATTATAAATCATGTCTATATCCCGGGGTGCAATCCCCCGCAGTTTTATATAAGAATATTCCAGAAAATATAGGGGAGATTACTCCAGGTTTATTTTTTATTAGCGTGAGTTGAATTTCTTTTTAAATATTATTAAATATTTTGATTAATTAGTTTTTTCGACCCAACTTTTATTAAAATGTATCCAATTTTTCTAGGAATTAAGCGAAAATATTATTTGATATTGATCCGTTTAATATGTTTTAACGATATGCGTGTATTTAATATTTCCTTCACATTATGCGTAAGAATAAAAACTGCGGCAACTATGAAATAAAATAAAGTCTTTGTATAAACAAACCCTACAGTAAATCTTTAAATAAGACGACGCGATGCAATTGAAAAGCACTGCAACGTTTGATTAAAAAGGTCGTTTCTATTTCCGTCCATGGGTGGCTACAATGTGGACTTTTGACTCCGCAGCTAAGGACGGAGCACAGTAAACTAAGCAGTCAAGAGAAACCGAGTTTGCACACCTTATTTTAGTCTAGTTCTTATGCCATTTTATTTCTCCCTTTGATTATTATATATGCAATTGATGTTCATGTCTCTGATGCTGTGTAAAACTATGAAATAAATTATTTTTAACGATTTAAATATTTAAAACAATTGAATTAATTTTTAAAAATCTGTTAGAGGACTGTATAGATATAGATGTTTGAAAGGGAAGAATGTTTGCTTTGATGTGTCTCGTTGTAATAACATAACTTTTCCGATTGCTTAAAATTTGTATCATTTTAACTCTCTGCAATCCCAAATTTATTTCAGCTCTATTTTAAAACCAAAATTCCACCCCCCCCCCCCCCTCAGCCAACCACGCCGAGGAAAAGTAAATCCCTTGAATCATCATTTAATTACACATTTGCATTTTCAGGTTGTTTTTTTTTTTTTTAATATTTAGACGTTTTGTATTAGATCTATGTATAAGTAAACTATCTTAAATGAATGAAAGTAGGCTACAAGTAAGAAAGAAATATTACTATTGTAAATCTGTATCAGTCCTCACAAGCCGATGATGAAAACTGTAATACTAAAGCGAACACACAACTGACGCTGTATATTACATGTCTGAGGCGGGGGGGGGGGGGGGAGATTCGATTTAAATAAAGTTTGATGTTTACTTTTATTTGGCCACAATCTATAGAGATGATGGAGGGAGGGACGGAAGGACTGACACACTACCACAAGTCTTATATTATTATGACGATTTTTAGCATCGGGTTTAAATAAAGGAGAGGTAACCCATACCTCCTGCAGCACTGACTTTGTGCAGTTGTCGGAACATAGCAGCACTACGTGAACGGTAACGTCGTTGGTCACGTGGTCCTTGTAGATCCCATCCAGAAGCTGATTGATTCGAACGTTTAGACCAGTCATTCGCTGGCTGTCCGCCATCTTGAGGTATTGGGCACAAGTGATCACGTGGTCCGCCTCAGGCGACATCTGCCAGTTGAGGTGAAAGGCCTGTACGGTGCCGTTCTGATAGCTGGCCATCAGGCGCCTGGCCGTGGGTTCTAGGGGATAAAAATAGAGGGCCAATTTGGCCGCCAACACACAGATCTTTTGGGCTTTGTCGGGCAGTCATGTTACGTCAGGCAGAGATGTGTTAGACTGGCCACAGATGTGTTGGACCAGGGATGTGTTAGACTGACCAGAGATGTGTTAGACCAGGGATGTATTAGACCAGAGATGTGTTAGACCAGAGATGTGTTAGACTGACCACAGATGTGTTAGACTGGCCACAGATGTGTTAATCTGACCAGATATGTGTTAGACTGACCAGAGATGTGTTAGACTGACCAAAGATGTGTTAGACTGACCAGAGATGTGTTAGACCAGAGATGTGTTAGACTGACCAGAGATGTGTTAGACTGACTAAAGATGTGTTAGACTGACCAGGGATGTGTTAGACTGACCACAGATGTGTCAGACTGACCAGAGATGTGTTAGACTGACCAGGGATGTGTTAGACTGACCAAAGATGTGTTAGACTGACCAGGGATGTGTTAGACTGACCACAGATGTGTTAGACTGACCAGGGATGTGTTAGACCAGACATGTGTTAGACTGACCAAAGATGTGTTAGACTGGCCAGGGATGTGTTAGACTGACCAAAGATGTGTTAGACTGACCAGGGATGTGTTAGACTGACCACAGATGTGTTAGACTGACCAGGGATGTGTTAGACTGACCAAAGATGTGTTAGACTGACCAGGGATGTGTTAGACTGACCACAGATGTGTTAGACTGACCAGGGATGTGTTAGACCAGAGATGTGTTAGACTGACCAAAGATGTGTTAGACTGACCAGGGATGTGTTAGACTGACCACAGATGTGTTAGACTGACCAGGGATGTGTTAGACCAGAGATGTGTTAGACTGACCAAAGATGTGTTAGACTGACCAGGGATGTGTTAGACTGACCACAGATGTGTTAGACTGATCAGAGATGTGTTAGACTGACCAGAGATGTGTTAGACTGACCAGAGATGTGTTAGACCAGGGATGTGTTAGACCAGAGATGTGTTAGAATGACCAAAGATGTGTTAGACTGACCAGAGATGTGTTAGACCAGGTATGTGTTAGAATGACCAGAGATGTGTTAGACTGACCAGAGATGTGTTAGACTGACCAAAGATGTGTTAGACCAGAGATGTGTTAGACTGACCAGAGATGTGTTAGACTGACCAGAGATGTGTTAGACCAGAGATGTGTTAGACTGACCAGAGATGTGTTAGACTGACCATAGATGTGTTAGACCAGGGATGTGTTAGACTGACCAGAGATGTGTTAGACCAGGGATGTGTTAGACTGACCAGAGATGTGTTAGACTGACCAGAGATGTGTTAGACTGACCAGAAATGTGTTAGACTGACCAGGGATGTGTTAGACCAGAGATGTGTTAGACTGACCACAGATGTGTTAGACTGACCAGAAATGTGTTAGACTGACCAGAGATGTGTTAAACTGACCAGAGATGTGTTAGACTGACCAGAGATGTGTTAGACTGACCAGAGATGTGTTAGACTGACCAGGGATGTGTTAGACCAGAGATGTGTTAGAATGACCAAAGATGTGTTAGACTGACCAGAGATGTGTTAGACCAGGGATGTGTTAGACCAGAGATGTGTTAGACCAGAGATGTGTTAGACTGACCAGAGATGTGTTAGACTGACCAAAGATGTGTTAGACTGACCAAAGATGTGTTAGACCAGAGATGTGTTAGACTGACCAGAGATGTGTTAGACTGACCAGAGATGTGTTAGACTGACCAGAGATGTTAGACTGACCAGAGATGTGTTAGACTGACCAGAGATGTGTTAGACCAGAGATGTGTTAGACTGACCAGAGATGTGTTAGACCAGAGATGTGTTAGACTGACCAGAGATGTGTTTGACTGACCAGAGATGTGTTAGACTGACCAGAGATGTGTTAGACTGACCAGAGATGTGTTAGACTGACCAGAGATGTGTTAGACTGACCAAAGATGTTTTAGACTGACCAGAGATGTGTAAGACTGACCAGAGATGTGTTAAACTGACCAGGGATGTGTTAGACTGACCAAAGATGTGTTAGACTGACCAGATATGTGTTAGACTGACCAGAGATGTGTTAGACTGACCAGGGATGTGTTAGACTGACCAGAGATGTGTTAGACTGACCAGAGATGTGTTAGACTGACCAAAGATGTTTTAGACTGACCAGAGATGTGTAAGACTGACCAGAGATGTGTTAAACTGACCAGGGATGTGTTAGACTGACCAGAGATGTGTTAGACTGACCAGGGATGTGTTAGACTGACCGTGCATGGTGTCATGGACCAGCATCAGGCGCGTCCAGTGCATGTGCTGGAATGTTGCCTTCAAAACACGGACTGTGAAGAGTTGCAGGTCACTGACCCCTGACGTCACTCGCTGGTCAACATCGAGGCTCTCCACAAGGCGCGGGTGGGGCAGCGCTGCGGAAGTCATGATTACGTCGGTGAGACTGTCCTACACCAAGTCAGGATCACGTCAGTGAGACTGTCCTACACCAAGTCAGGATCACGTCGGTGAGACTGTCCTACACCACGATCACGCCGTGAGACTGTACTAAACCAAGCCAGGATCACGTCGGTGAGACTGTCCTACACCAAGTCAGGATCACGTCGTGAGACTGTCCTACACCAAGTCACGATCACGTCGTGAGACTGTCCTACACCAAGTCACGATCACGTCGTGAGACTGTCCTACACCACGATCACGTCGTGAGACTGTTCTACACCAAGTCAGGATCACGTCGTGAGACTGTCCTACACCAAGTCACGATCACGTCGTGAGACTGTCCTACACCACGATCACGTCGTGAGACTGTTCTACACCAAGTCAGGATCACGTCGGTGAGACTGTCCTAAACCAAGTCAGGATCACGTCGTGAGACTGTCCTACACCACGATCACGTCGTGAGACTGTCTTACACCACGATCACGTCGGTGAGACTGTCCTACACCAAGTCAGGATCACGTCGGTGAGACTGTCTCACCACGACCAGTCACTACACTGTGCCACTTACCAGCTCTGCTTGTTAGACCAGTGCAGACGATTATAATCAGGGCAACTGAGCACTGACCTGGCCAGGCCATCTTGTGCCAGCTGGTAACGTTGTCTGTACCGGGGACGATGAGACAATCATCTTGCCATCCCAGGTGTGTCCAGTTTTCTGGCCCACATACCCGCGCTGTGCCGGATCGATTTCACCATGACAAGACGCAGCATTTGGTGCCATGAGCTGGCAGCTGTCTGGATGTTTGGCTCTACCTACAGCACATTCACAAATGCGTTTGCCTGAAGGCCGTTTCCCGAATGGGACAAATACCCGAATGGGTACTTGCCCGAGTGCGACAAATGCCACTGCCCCTAGCCTGTTTGCCAGAAGAAATGTTTAATATTAAATATTACGTAGTAGACAATCTATAATATAAGTCGTCATCGCTATAGATTTTGGAACCATAAAAGCAAATTTCGTACCATGCAGTGCTTTTAAATTGCATTGCTTAATTGTAAGTAATAGGATAGGTTTTTTTTAATAAAACGACTTAAATTTATTTTATAGTTGCCACAGTTTTTACACTTTCGCATAACATGAAGAAAATATTAAATACATGCACATTGCTAAAACATATTAAACGGATCAATGTAAAATATAATTTTCGTTTATATTCTTAAAAAACTCGGATACATTTTAATAACAGAAGGGTCGAAAAAATTAATTAGGACTAGATCTAGTTAAAATATCTAATAGCTATGCCAGGGGAGGTAATTTAAAAATAAACTCAACTCACGTTAATAAAAAAAATGTGAATGCAAAATCTGCGGACGTTCAAGAGAGAATTATTGTTGGAATAATATAATTAGCAAAATATGAATGCAAATTCTGGTGAAGTCAAAGAGGACATTATTGTTGGAATAATATAATTGATAAAGTGCAATATGGTAGGTGAAACGCGGATATTTTAAAAACTGCCTTTATTTATTTTATACACTGAACGTACTGTTTACTAATTAATATTTTTAATCAATAACATTTTAGAAGCCACTCCTAAATGTCCCTATGTTTACTTTTATCTTTCGGTTTGCGGACAAGCTGGGGTTTTTATAGTCGTTCACTAAACTGAATCAGGCGCGTCCGCCGGCGCCCGGGCAGGGTTCAATTTTGCGCGATGGGCTATCCTGTGAGCACTATGGGTTTGTGTTTGCTTTGCGTTTTCTTTTGTGTTTCTGTGTTGCGTTTGTGCGTTTTTTTGCGTCTGTGTTTGTGTTTTCTTTTGTGTTTGTTTTATTTGTGTTTTCCTTTGTGTTTGTGTTGTTTTTGGGTTTGTGATTCCTTTTGTTTTTGTGTTTGCGTTGTGCTTGTGTTTTCTTTTGTGTTTAGTTTTGTTCTGTTCCATAGTTGGTACGTTTCAAAAGATTCCCCGTGGAGGAGCACAGGTATGCAGCTGCTAGTGTTAATATTTCTGAATGTAGCATTATGGTAATCAACACAATTATAAATTATAAGCATAAAACACACATACATATATATATATATATATATATATATATATATATAACTAAGGAAGAGCTTATATCTACTAACGTTTAAGGTAGCCTCTCAAATTCTGTCATTATATTCCACATGTATTAAAGGCTTAGATGTTTATTATTTTTTTAACAGAAGTGTATATTATTAGAACTTTAAAAAAATAGATTTTAAATTTAATATATTGTTATTTTTAGTAATTGATGTTGTGGTGGTTATCAAAGTACAAAACATGTCAATATAGTGGTGTTGGTTTTTTATAACTGCAATTAAAAATATTTATCTCATGATATCTTACGGTTATGGTTATGGGCTAGGTTTAAGGGTTGGCAAAAGTCTAAGAAAGTAAAAATGATAAATTTCAGAACAAAACAAAATGAATTTTAACTGAAACAATGAAAGAGGTATATTTTGGCGTATAGATCAACATTCTACGTAAAAGTATTGTTGTTTTTCCTCAGAGAATCTCATCAAACTGTATAGGAAATATGCAAGGTGCTTATATCCTCTAACATCCTGTTGAGGAAATAAACACTGTGGCCATTTCCTGTCAGCCTTGAGATTATATATATATATGTATATATATATAAATAAATAAATATATATATATATATATATATATATATATATATATATATATATATATATATATATATATATATATATATATCAGAGGCGTAGCGACCCTTCCCGGCGCCCGGGGACAAACTTTTCGATTTGCACCCCCCCCCCCTCAAACTTTCGATTTGCACCCCCCTCAACCTTTCAATTTATTTTTCCAACCCATTTTAGCGCCCCCTAAGGTCGGCGCCCGGGGACATATGTCCCCCCCCCCCCCGCTACTGATATATATATATATACACTTATATATATGCCCTATATATATATATATAATTATATAAATATATATATATATATATGTATATATATATATATATATATATATATATATTTCATAGGCCATATGGCAAATAGCCTAGTTAATTTTTAAAAAGAACAAACATCGATTTTTTTTTTGGAGCTATATTCCCTTTACTTGTAAAATAAATAGTCAAAAAGTACTACGTAATTTTATACATGTTATGTAAAATTTAAGTATCGCATTTTAGCAGACACAAATGACAGTTTTTATTTCACATTTATGACACATTTTTTATACAGTACATAATAGAAAAAGTTAAAAATATGTTCATGGCTTAAAAGTTAAATATGAAGCAGCAACTTTCAAAAATATATGACAGTCAAATGACAACAATTTATGTTTAGAATGAGAACTAATGTCAATTGTCATAGTTTCTATCAACTCCTACATAAATGTTTGATCACATCACCCTTCTCCCCACCCCAATCATCACTTGACATCTCCCCACCCCAATCATCACTTGACATCTCCCCACCCCAATCATCACTTGACATCTCCCCACCCCAATCATCACTTGACTTCTCCCCATCATCACTTGACATCTCCCCATCCCAATCATCACTTGACATCTCCCCATCCCAATCATCACTTGACATCTCCCCACCCCAATCATCATTTGACATCTCCCCACCCCAATCATCACTTGACATCTCCCCACCCCAATCATCACTTGACATCTCCCCATCCCAATCATCACTTGACATCTCCCCACCCCAATCATCACTTGACATCTCCCCATCCCAATCATCATTTGACATCTCCCCACCCCAATCATCATTTGACATCTCCCCACCCCAATCATCATTTGACATCTCCCCACCCCAATCATCACTTGACATCTCCCCACCCCAATCATCACTTGACATCTCCCCACCCCAATCATCACTTGACATCTCCCCACCCCAATCATCACTTGACATCTCCCCATCCCAATCATCACTTGACATCTCCCCACCCCAATCATCACTTGACATCTCCCCACCCCAATCATCACTTGACTTCTCCCCACCCCAATCATCACTTGACATCTCCCCACCCCAATCATCACTTGACTTCTCCCCACCCCAATCATCACTTGACATCTCCCCACCCCAATCATCACTTGACATCTCCCCACCCCAATCATCACTTGACATCTCCCCATTCCAATCATCATTTGACATCTCCCCATCCCAATCATCACTTGACATCTCCCCACCCCAATCATCACTTGACTTCTCCCCACCCCAATCATCACTTGACATCTCCCCACCCCAATCATCATTTGACATCTCCCCACCCCAATCATCACTTGACATCTCCCCATCCCAATCATCACTTGACATCTCCCCACCCCAATCATCACTTGACATCTCCCCATCCCAATCATCACTTGACATCTCCCCACCCCAATCACTTGACTTCTCCCCACCCCAATCATCACTTGACATCTCCCCACCCCAATCATCACTTGACATCTCCCCACCCCAATCATCACTTGACATCTCCCCACCCCAATCATCACTTGACATCTCCCCACCCCAATCATCACTTGACATCTCCCCATCCCAATCATCACTTGACATCTCCCCACCCCAATCATCATTTGACATCTCCCCATCCCAATCATCACTTGACATCTCCCCACCCCAATCATCACTTGACATCTCCCCACCCAATCATCACTTGACATCTCCCCACCCCAATCATCACTTGACATCTCCCCACCCCAATCATCACTTGACATCTCCCCACCCCAATCATCATTTGACATCTCCCCACCCCAATCATCACTTGACATCTCCCCATCCCAATCATCACTTGACATCTCCCCACCCCAATCATCACTTGACATCTCCCCATCCCAATCATCACTTGACATCTCCCCACCCCAATCACTTGACTTCTCCCCATCCCAATCATCACTTGACATCTCCCCACCCCAATCATCACTTGACATCTCCCCACCCCAATCATCACTTGACATCTCCCCACCCCAATCATCATTTGACATCTCCCCACCCCAATCATCACTTGACATCTCCCCATCCCAATCATCACTTGACATCTCCCCACCCCAATCATCATTTGACATCTCCCCATCCCAATCATCACTTGACATCTCCCCACCCCAATCATCACTTGACATCTCCCCACCCCAATCATCACTTGACATCTCCCCACCCCAATCATCACTTGACATCTCCCCACCCCAATCATCACTTGACATCTCCCCATCCCAATCATCATTTGACATCTCCCCACCCCAATCATCACTTGACATCTCCCCATCCCAATCATCATTTGCTAATCTAACTTAACCCACTTCTACCAAACAGATTTAAATTTGACTCATAGCTCATAAGATGTTGAACTGATTTTTTTAAAGCCGTTCTTTTCATTAAAATGGTTTTTTTAAAAACAAAACATTTTAATGTTTTCCACTAAAGCAGGCGTGCTGACTGTGGAAATCGTATTCAATACTGCAACTTTTAATAAATAAGGTTACATGGATTAATCACGTCTTTTTAAAAATGCAAAATAAACGTAAAAATTCATTTTAACGAACAACGTTTGATAACATTAAAGTGTAACATCACATTTTCTTTGCAAACCCCCACCCACTTTCTCGTGTCGATTCAAAAGATGACGCCAACAGACATCAAAGATAAAAAAAAAAATTCACCGGAATGTCAGATCATGGCATACTTGACTAGATACACAGGATAGCAAACATAAGCCACTCTAGTGTCAGGCATTGGGCTCATTTTAAAACAAAGATTCATCGGCTTAATGAATGTTATAAGATTCATGAGCTTAATGAATGTTATAAGATTCGTGAGCTTAATGAATGTTATAAGATTCGTGAGCTTAATGAATGTTATAAGATTCATGAGCTTAATGAATGTTATAAGATTCATGAGCTTAATGAATGTTATAAGATTCATGAGCTTAATGAATGTTATAAGATTCATGAGTTTAATGAATAAGATTCATGAGCTTAATGAATGTTATAAGATTCAGGAGCTTAATGAATGTTATAAGATTCATGAGCTTAATGAATGTTATAAGATTCATGAGCTTAATGAATGTTATAAGATTCATGAGCTTTATGAATGTTGACAACATTGGCTCAGTTAAATCCTGCCAGACTGGTTAGAAACATGAGTTGATGACATCTGAAACATGATTGGATGACATCTGAAACAAGAGTGGATGACATCTGAAAGATGAGTGGATGACATCTGAAACATGAGTTGATGATACATCAGATACATGAGTGATGGACATTAAAACTATGACATCATACCCAGTGTATATAGTTTCATGACTGTTTTGACATAGGAATGTAAAGCCTCAGACATGATCTTAGGGAATCACATGACCATGTGTGAAGTTAGGGAATCACATGACCATGTGTGAAGTTAGGGAATCACATGACCATGTGTGAAGTTAGGGAATCACATGACCATGTGTGAAGTTAGGGAATCACATGACCATGTGTGAAGTTAGGGAATCACATGACCATGTGTGAAGTTAGGGAATCACATGACCATGTGTGAAGTTAGGGAATCACATGACCATGTGTGAAGTTAGGGAATCACATGACCATGTGTGAAGTTAGGGAATCACATGACCATGTGTGAAGTTAGGGAATCACATGACCATGTGTGAAGTTAGGGAATCACATGACCATGTGTGAAGTTAGGGAATCACATGACCATGTGTGAAGTTAGGGAATCACATGACCATGTGTGAAGTTAGGGAATCACATGACCATGTGTGAAGTTAGGGAATCACATGACCATGTGTGAAGTTAGGGAATCACATGACCATGTGTGAAGTTAGGGAATCACATGACCATGTGTGAAGTTTGGGAATCACATGACCATGTGTGAAGTTAGGGAATCACATGACCATGTGTGAAGTTAGGGAATCACATGACCATGTGTGAAGTTAGGGAATCACATGACCATGTGTGAAGTTAGGGAATCACATGACCATGTGTGAAGTTAGGGAATCACATGACCATGTGTGAAGTTAGGAAATCACATTTTTTTGAAATTTTACATAATTTCTTTCCACACCCACAGTAGCTTAAGTTAATATCCTGCATTTAAAAAGTTCATTGACCTAACCTCTGACCACTGTGTCCACTGACCTAACCTGTGACCACTGTCCATTGACCTAACCCCTGACCACTGTGTCAATTGACCTAACCTCTGACCACTGTGTCCACTGACCTAACCTCTGTCCACTGTGTCCACTGACCTAACTTCTGACCACTGTGTCCACTGACCTAACCTCTGACCACTGTGTCCACTGACCTAACCTCTGACCACTGTGTCCACTGACCTAACTTCTGACCACTGTGTCCGCTGACTTAACCTCTGTCCACTGTGTCCACTGACCTAACCTCTGTCCACTGTGTCCATTGACCTAACCTGTGACCACTGTGTCCACTGACCTAACCTCTGTCCACTGACCTAACCTGTAGGAAGTCTTAGCCCCACCTGTCACCTGGGGTCAGTGATGTAGACAATGTGTGTGTAGTCGTTGCTACACCTGTCACCTGGGGTCAGTGCTACACCTGTCACCTGGGGTCAGTGCTACACCTGTCACCTGGGGTCAGTGCCCCACCTGTCACCTGGGGTCAGTGCTGTAGACGATGTGTGTGTAGTCGTTGCTACACCTGTCACCTGGGGTCATGTGTGTGTAGTCGTTGCTACACCTGTCACCTGGGGTCAGGACTGGGCAGAGCTTGTCCAGGTATTTCTTCTCCAGGTTGACCTCAGACTCACGGATGAATGGCATTTGACCCTGAAGTTCAACATTGGTTGACTTAGGTCGTGGTCTCAATCTGCTACGTTTGCGCCGCAGAATGAGCTGGACGAGGAAAATAACGAGGATGGTGGCCAGGATGAGTACCATGACGGCCAGGACGGAGATGATGATGGTGGGCCGGTCCATGTGGGCTGCACCTGAGGACAATACAGGCTGCTAGGTTAACTCAGGATACAGGTGATACATTTGGGGAGGGGGCCCAGTGGTGTGAGCTTCAATAGATAAAACCAATTTATTTACCAGTTGCACTTTTATTTCCATTTTCTGCAGGAAAGTTCATGTTGTCTATGGTGGGCAGAGCTGAAATACAGGGGAGAGAAATCTTTATTTTTTTAATCAATAGTTGGGTTCTTGTTAATTAGTGATCATATTAATTTTAATTTACGGTTTGATTCGTGTTAATTAGTGATCATATTAATCAACAATTTGGTTCTTGTTAATTAGTGAACCTGCACCAATTCTCTAAATAGAACCAAACAGTTACATCAAATTTATTTAGATCAAAAAACAACAGAGCCCTCTGCATTAAAGCCATACCAACCTACATTTACCAACTTAAACCTATCATACCAACCTACAGCTACTAACTTAAACCTACCATACCAACCTACATTTACTAACTTAAACCTACCATACCAACCTACAGCTACTAACTTAAACCTACCATACCAACCTACAGCTACTAACTTAAACCTACCATAAAAACTTAAACCTACCATACCAACCTACAGCTACTAACTTAAACCTACCATACCAACTTAAACCTATCATACCAACCTACAGCTACTAACTTAAACCTACCATACCAACCTACATTTACTAACTTAAACCTACCATACCAACCTACAGCTACTAACTTAAACCTACCATACCAACCTACATTTACTAACTTAAACCTACCATACCAACCTACAGCTACTAACCTTAAACCTACCATATCAACCTACAGCTACTAACTTAAACCTACCATAAAAACTTAAACCTACCATACCAACTTAAACCTACCATACCAACCTACAGCTACTAACTTAAACCTACCATACCAACCTACATTTACCAACTTAAATCTACCATACCAACCTACAGCTACTAACTTAAACCTACCACACCAACCTACATTTACCAACTTAAACCTACCATACCAACCTACAGCTACTAACCTTAAACCTACCATATCAACCTACAGCTACTAACTTAAACCTACCATAAAAACTTAAACCTACCATACCAACTTAAACCTACCATACCAACCTACAGCTACTAACTTAAACCTACCATACCAACCTACATTTACCAACTTAAATCTACCATACCAACCTACAGCTACTAACTTAAACCTACCACACCAACCTACATTTACCAACTTAAACCTACCATACCAACCTACAGCTACCAACTAAAACCTACCATACCAACCTAAACCTACCATACCAACTTAAACCTACCATACCAACTTAAACCTACCATACCAACCTAAACCTACCATACCAACCTAAACCTACCATACCAACTTAAACCTACCATACCAACCTACAGCTACTAACTTAAACCTACCATACCAACCTAAACCTACCATACCAACTTAAACCTACCATACCAACTTAAACCTACCATACCAACTTAAACCTACCATACCAACCTAAACCTACCATACCAACTTAAACCTACCATACCAACATAAACCTACCATACCAACCTAAACCTACCATGCCAACCTAAACTATCATGCCAACTTAAACCTACCATACCTACCTAAACCTACCATACCAACTTAAACCTACCATACCAACCTACAGCTACTAACTTAAACCTACCATACCAACCTAAACCTACTATACCAACTTAAACCTACCATACCAACTTAAACCTACCATACCAACTTAAACCTACCATACCAACCTAAACCTACCATATCAACCTAAACCTACCATACCAACTTAAACCTACCATACCAACTTAAACCTACCATACCAACTTAAACCTACCATACCAACCTAAACCTACCATACCAACCTAAACCTACCATACCAACCTAAACCTACCATACCAACCTAAACCTACCATACCATCCTAAACCTACCATGCCAACCTAAACCTACCATGCCAACTTAAACCTACCATACCAACCTACCATAACACTCTGGACAACAGTCTCCTCTTCTCTGAATGAATATTGAACAGATGAGAGTGGGACATGACAAGGGGAAGCACTCAACCTGACCAGCGGAACACAAACATTGGGAGCAGTTCTCTCCCCTCCACCGTTCACCAGCCTCGTACTCGACTCCGTTGTGGACACACCCTGTACGGGGTGAGGCAGGTTCTGTGTTCAAATAAAAGCGGAGTTAGGTAGGTGGGGTGAGTAAGGGGGTATAGGTGGGGTGGGGTGAGTGGGGTGGGTGGGGTGGGGGTGGGATAGGTGGGTGGGGTAAGTGGGGTGGTGGGTGGTGTGAAGGGGTGGGGTGGGATAGGTGAGTGGGGTGGGGTAGGGATAGGATGGTGGGATAGGAGGGTGGTGTGGGGGGGGGGGGGGTGGGGTAGGATAGGTTGTTGGGGTGGGATAGGTGAGTTTGAGATAGGTGTATAAGGTGGGTGGGGTGGGATAGGTGAGTGCGGTAGTATACAATGTTCTACTGGGTAAGTGAGAAAGCTGGTAGCAAGCTTTAAATTGTTGTCAGTAAGTGGCTGTACAATGTGTACACAGATAATAAATTACAGGTGGGATGTCTGGCTGTACAATGTGTACACAGATAATAAATTACAGGTGGGATGTCTGGCTGTACAATGTGTACACAGATAATAAATTACAGGTGGGATGTCTGGCTGTACAATGTGTACACAGATAATAAATTACAGGTGGGATGTCTGGCTGTACAATGTGTACACAGATAATAAATTACAGGTGGGATGTCTGGCTGTACAATGTGTACACAGATAATAAATTACAGGTGGGATGTCTGGCTGTACAATGTGTACACAGATAGTAAATTACAGGTGGGATGTCTGGCTGTACAATGTGTACACAGATAGTAAATTACAGGTGGGATGTCTGGCTGTACAATGTGTACACAGATAATAAATTACAGGTGGGATGTCTGGCTGTACAATGTGTACACAGATAATAAATTACAGGTGGGATGTCTGGCTGTACAATGTGTACACAGATAATAAATTACAGGTGGGATGTCTGGCTGTACAATGTGTACACAGATAATAAATTACAGGTGGGATGTCTGGCTGTACAATGTGTACACAGATAATAAATTACAGGTGGGATGTCTGGCTGTACAATGTGTACACAGATAATAAATTACAGGTGGGATGTCTGGCTGTACAATGTGTACACAGATAATAAATTACAGGTGGGATGTCTGGCTGTACAATGTGTACACAGATAATAAATTACAGGTGGGATGTCTGGCTGTACAATGTGTACACAGATAATAAATTACAGGTGGGATGTCTGGCTGTACAATGTGTACACAGATAATAAATTACAGGTGGGATGTCTGGCTGTACAATGTGTACACAGATAATAAATTACAGGTGGGATGTCTGGCTGTACAATGTGTACACAGATAATAAATTACAGGTGGGATGTCTGGCTGTACAATGTGTACACAGATAATAAATTACAGGTGGGATGTCTGGCTGTACAATGTGTACACAGATAATAAATTACAGGTGGGATGTCTGGCTGTACTCACCGAGACACACAGGACAGCACTGGCTCTTGACGAGGACAGTCCTGGTGCAGGTGAGGGGCGGACACACCTGGCTGTAGCAGTGGATCTGACCCTGGCGACACACGCAGCTCTGACACGGGTCCGACTGCCAGACGTCACCATGCTGGTATGTCACAGAGGTGCTGGAGTGACAGCTGCCTTGACCTTTCATGCCTGACAAGGTCAAATTCAGTTCTGCAGACAAGTTTGATTGGATTAAAACAAGTGTTGGGTTTGACCTATGACCTACACGATTCTGAGCTTGACCTATGAACTATGACCTGTATGAATGTACCAATGGTTCAACACATCTTACCTGGACAGGTAGCGCAGCATTCACCACTGGCCCTGACAGGGTGCGTGCAGATGACAGGTGGGCAGGTGGGAGTCTGACATAAGATGTCACCTGCCTGACACATGCAGTGTGTGCACTCATCCATCATCCACATCTCCCCCTCCCCGTGTACTTTCCCAATGGCAGACTCGCAAATCTCTCCAGATGGGTTGGGAACTGTTAGACCTGTCAATGTTGGGAGGGAACTGTTAGACCTGTCAATGTTGTAACTGTTAGACCTGTCAATGTTGGAACTGTTAGACCTGTCAATGTTGGGAGGGAACTGTTAGACCTGTCAATGTTGGAACTGTTAGACCTGTCAATGTTGGGAGGGAACTGTTAGACCTGTCAATGTTGGGAGGGAACTGTAAGACCTGTCAATGTTGGGAGGGAACTGTAAGACCTGTCAATGTTGGAACTGTTAGTCCTGTCAATGTTGGGAGGGAACTGTTAGACCTGTCAATGTTGGGAGGGAACTGTAAGACCTGTCAATGTTGGGAGGGAACTGTTAGACCTGTCAATGTTGGGAGGGAACTGTAAGACCTGTCAATGTTGGAACTGTTAGACCTGTCAATGTTGGGAGGGAACTGTTAGACCTGTCAATGTTGGGAGGGAACTGTTAGACCTGTCAATGTTGGGAGGGAACTGTAAGAGCTGTCAATGTTGGGAGGGAACTGTTAGACCTGTCAATGTTGGGAGGGAACTGTTAGACCTGTCAATGTTGGAACTGTTAGACCTGTCAATGTTGGGAGGGAACTGTTAGACCTGTCAATGTTGGGAGGGAACTGTAAGACCTGTCAATGTTGGAACTGTTAGACCTGTCAATGTTGGGAGGAAACTGTTAGACCTGTCAATGTTGGGAGGGAACTGTTAGACCTTTCAATGTTGGGAGGGAACTGTAAGACCTGTCAATGTTGGAACTGTTAGACCTGTCAATATTGGGAGGGAACTGTTAGACCTGTCAATATTGGGAGGGAACTGTAAGACCTGTCAATGTTGGGAGGGAACTGTTAGACCTGTCAATGTTGGAACTGTTAGACCTGTCAATATTGGGAGGGAACTGTTAGACCTGTCAATATTGGGAGGGAACTGTAAGACCTGTCAATGTTGGGAGGGAACTGTTAGACCTGTCAATGTTGGGAGGGAACTGTAAGACCTGTCAATGTTGGGAGGGAACTGTAAGAGCTGTCAATGTTGGGAGGGAACTGTTAGACCTGTCAATGTTGGGAGGGAACTGTAAGACCTGTCAATGTTGGGAGGGAACTGTTAGACCTGTCAATGTTGGGAGGGAACTGTAAGACCTGTCAATGTTGGAACTGTTAGACCTGTCAATGTTGGGAGGGAACTGTAAGACCTGTCAATGTTGGGAGGGAACTGTAAGAGCTGTCAATGTTGGGAGGGAACTGTAAGAGCTGTCAATGTTGGGAGGGAACTGTTAGACCTGTCAATGTTGGAACTGTTAGACCTGTCAATGTTGGAACTGTTAGACCTGTCAATGTTGGGAGGGAACTGTAAGAGCTGTCAATGTTGGGAGGGAACTGTAAGACCTGTCAATGTTGGGAGGGAACTGTAAGACCTGTCAATGTTGGGAGGGAACTGTAAGAGCTGTCAATGTTGGGAGGGAACTGTTAGACCTGTCAATGTTGGAACTGTTAGACCTGTCAATATTGGGAGGGAACTGTTAGACCTGTCAATATTGGGAGGGAACTGTTAGACCTGTCAATATTGGGAGGGAACTGTAAGACCTGTCAATGTTGGGAGGGAACTGTAAGACCTGTCAATGTTGGGAGGGAACTGTTAGACCTGTCAATGTTGGGAGGGAACTGTTAGACCTGTCAATGTTGGGAGGGAACTGTTAGACCTGTCAATGTTGGGAGGGAACTGTAAGACCTGTCAATGTTGTAACTGTTAGACCTGTCAATGTTGTAACTGTTAGACCTGTCAATGTTGGGAGGGAACTGTAAGACCTGTCAATGTTGGCAGGGAACTGTTAGACCTGTCAATATTGGGAGGGAACTGTAAGACCTGTCAATGTTGGGAGGGAACTGTAAGACCTGTCAATGTTGGGAGGGAACTGTTAGACCTGTCAATGTTGGGAGGGAACTGTTAGACCTGTCAATGTTGGGAGGGAACTGTTAGACCTGTCAATGTTGGGAGGGAACTGTAAGACCTGTCAATGTTGTAACTGTTAGACCTGTCAATGTTGTAACTGTTAGACCTGTCAATGTTGGGAGGGAACTGTAAGACCTGTCAATGTTGGCAGGGAACTGTTAGACCTGTCAATGTTGTAACTGTTAGACCTGTCAATGTTGGGAGGGAACTGTAAGACCTGTCAATGTTGGGAGGGAACTGTAAGACCTGTCAATGTTGGGAGGGAACTGTTAGACCTGTCAATGTTGTAACTGTTAGACCTGTCAATGTTGGGAGGGAACTGTCAGACCTGTCAATGTTGGAACTGTTAGACCTGTCAATGTTGTAACTGTTAGACCTGTCAATGTTGGCAGGGAACTGTTAGACCTGTCAATGTTGGCAGGGAGGAACGAGTCAATATACCTGGACATGTTGGGCAACAATCCCCGACCCTAAAGACTGGCGTGTGGCAGTGTGGGGCTGGGCAGGCAATCAGGGAACACATCTCCACACCTGAGTGGCAGTAACATCTGCGGCATCCGTCGCTCCACACCTCACCCGACCTGTGGTGGGACCCCTCTGGGGACAGGCATCCCCTGGCCACCCCAGACACATCGATGGGTGGCTCTGTGGACAAATGGTGGACATTGTTGGAGTGGTCAACGACAGACAAATGGTGGACATTGTTGGAGTGGTCAACGACAGACAAATGGTGGACATTGGTGGAGTGGTCAACGACAAACAAATGGTGGACATTGTTGGAGTGGTCAACAACAGACAAATGTTGGACATTGTTGGAGTGGTCAACGACAGACAAATGGTGGACATTGGTGGAGTGGTCAACTACAGACAAATGGTGGACATTGGTGGAGTGGTCAACTACAGACAAATGTTGGACATTGTTGGAGTGGTCAACTACAGACAAATGGTGGACATTGTTGGAGTGGTCAACTACAGACAAATGGTGGACATTGTTGGAGTGGTCAACTACAGACAAATGGTGGACATTGTTGGAGTGGTCAACTACAGACAAATGGTGGACATTGTTGGAGTGGTCAACTACAGACAAATGGTGGACATTGTTGGAGTGGTCAACGACAGACAAATGGTGGACATTGTTGGAGTGGTCAACTACAGACAAATGGTGGACATTGTTGGAGTGGTCAACTACAGACAAATGGTGGACATTGTTGGAGTGGTCAACTACAGACAAATGGTGGACATTGTTGGAGTGGTCAACGACAGACAAATGGTGGACATTGTTGGAGTGGTCAACTACAGACAAATGGTGGACATTGTTGGAGTGGTCAACGACAGACAAATGGTGGACATTGTTGGAGTGGTCAACGACAGACAAATGGTGGACATTGTTGGAGTGGTCAACGACAGACAAATGGTGGACATTGTTGGAGTGGTCAACGACAGACAAATGGTGGACATTGTTGGAGTGGTCAACGACAGACAAATGGTGGACATTGTTGGAGTGGTCAACGACAGACAAATGGTGGACATTGGTCAACTACAGACAAATGGTGGACATTGTTGGAGTGGTCAACGACAGACAAATGGTGGACATGGTTGGAGTGGTCAACGACAGACAAATGGTGGACATTGTTGGAGTGGTCAACTACAAACAAATGGTGGACATTGTTGGAGTGGTCAACGACAGACAAATGGTGGACATTGTTGGAGTGGTCAACGACAGACAAATGGTGGACATTGTTGGAGACTAGTCATTGTACAACTACAGACAAATGGTGGACATTGTTGGAGTGGTCAACGACAGACAAATGGTGGACATTGTTGGAGTGGTCAACGACAGACAAATGGTGGACATTGTTGGAGTGGTCAACGACAGACAAATGGTGGACATTGGTGGAGTGGTCAACGACAGACAAATGGTGGACATTGTTGGAGTGGTCAACGACAGACAAATGGTGGACATTGTTGGAGTGGTCAACTACAGACAAATGGTGGACATTGTTGGAGTGGTCAACGACAGACAAATGGTGGACATTGTTGGAGTGGTCAACGACAGACAAATGGTGGACATTGTTGGAGACTAGTCATTGTACAACTACAGACAAATGTTGGACATCGTTCAACTACAGACAAATGTCGGACATTAGTCATCTACAGACAAATGTTGGACATTGGTCAACTACAGACAAATGTTGGACATTGGTCAACTACAGACAAATGTTGGACATTGGTCGACTACAGACAAATGTTGGACATTGGTCAACTACAGAAAAATGTTGGACATTGGTCAACTACAGACAAATGTTGGACATTGGTCAACTACAAACCTCTGCACAGACATTGTGGACATCCTTCAGCTGTGAGCACGTGTCCATACATGCATCTTTTGGTGCAGTTGAACTGGGGACATTTGTTGCACTTGCACTTAATGCAGCCCTCGCGTGACCTCCTGAAGCCGTACTCACACTGGATGGGACATTTTCTCTCGTCCCACGGTGGACAGCGGTCAGGCGCCCCACCACATTCACACAGCTGGTTCCCTGCGGCGTCCAGCTTCAGGCCAAACTGGCAGTCTAGCTGGCATTTAGCTGGGTACAAACATTATGGCTTTCAATATCTAGATCTAGCTGGCATTTAGCTGGGTACAAACATTATGGCTGTCAATATCTAGATCTAGCTGGCATTTGGCTGGGTACAAACATTATGGCTTTCAATATCTAGATCTAGCTGGCATTTGGCTGGGTACAAACATTATGGCTTTCAATATCTAGATCTAGCTGGCATTTAGCTGGGTACAAACATTATGGCTTTCAATATCTAGATCTAGCTGGCATTTCGCTGGGTACAAACATTATGGCTGTCAATATCTAGATCTAGCTGGCATTTAGCTGGATACAAACATTATGGCTTTCAATATCTAGATCTAGCTGGCATTTAGCTGGGTACAAACATTATGGCTGTCAATATCTAGATCTAGCTGGTATTTGGCTGGGTACAAACATTATGGCTTTCAATATCTAGATCTATCTGCCATTTAGCTGGGTACAAACATTATGGCTTTCAATATCTAGATCTAGCTGGCATTTCGCTGGGTACAAACATTATGGCTGTCAATATCTAGATCTAGCTGGCATTTGGCTGGGTACAAACATTATGGCTGTCAATATCTAGATCTAGCTGGCATTTAGCTGGGTACAAACATTATGGCTTTCAATATCTAGATCTAGCTGGCATTTAGCTGGGTACAAACATTATGGCTGTCAATATCTAGATCTAGCTGGCATTTGGCTGGGTACAAACATTATGGCTGTCAATATCTAGATCTAGCTGGCATTTAGCTGGGTACAAACATTATGGCTGTCAATATCTAGATCTAGCTGGCTTTTAGCTGGGTACAAACATTATGGCTTTCAATATCTAGATCTAGCTGGCATTTAGCTGGGTACAAACATTATGGCTTTCAATATCTAGATCTAGCTGGCATTTAGCTGGGTACAAACATTATGGCTTTCAATATCTAGATCTAGCTGGCATTTGGCCGGGTACAAACATTATGGCTGTCAATATCTAGATCTAGCTGGCATTTAGCTGGGTACAAACATTATGGCTGTTAATATCTAGATCTAGCTGGCATTTAGCTGGGTACAAACATTATGGCTGTCAATATCTAGATCTAGCTGGCATTTAGCTGGGTACAAACATTATGGCTTTCAATATCTAGATCTAGCTGGCATTTAGCTGGGTACAATCATTATGGCTGTCAATATCTAGATCTAGCTGGCATTTAGCTGGGTACAAACATTATGGCTGTCAATATCTAGATCAAGGACATAAGAACATCATAACACAAATATTCCTTGACAGGTGTGTAATGAAGTGTGTACTGTGTAGATACCTTGTTTGCACCTGCAAGTGTAGCAGCCGTCATCTGTCTGCTCCAGACCGTAAGGACACGTAAGGGTGCATGACCTCAAGCTTGGACAAGGTTTAAAGGTCAAGGTGACAGCCTCATGGTCTGATGAGAAATTGTTTCATCAACTAATAAATATATTAATTTGACAACAATTGCTCAACAAATGTGCTTGGACAAATCTGGACATGGTACAGGTGGGCTGGTTCAGGGGAGCTAAACTGGACATACTACAGGTGGGCTGGTTCAGGGGAGCTAAACTGGACATACTACAGGTGGGCTGGTTCAGGGGAGCTAAACTGGACATGCTACAGGTGGGCTGGTTCATTGAGCTAAACTGGACATACTACAGGTGGGCTGGCTCAGGGGAGCTAAACTGGACATACTACAGGTGGGCTGGTTCAGGCGAGCTAAACTGGACATGGTACAGGTGGGCTGGTTCAGGGGAGCTAAACTGGGCATGGTACAGGTGGGCTGGTTCAGGGGAGCTAAACTGGACATGCTACAGGTGGGCTGGTTCAGGGGAGCTAAACTGGACATGCTACAGGTGGGCTGGTTCATTGAGCTAAACTGGACATACTACAGGTGGGCTGGTTCAGGGGAGCTAAACTGGACATGGTACAGGTGGGCTGGTTCAGGGGAGCTAAACTGGACATGCTACAGGTGGGCTGGTTCAGGGGAGCTAAACTGGACATGGTACAGGTGGGCTGGTTCAGGGGAGCTAAACTGGACATGCTACAGGTGGGCTGGTTCAGGGGAGCTAAACTGGACATACTACAGGTGGGCTGGTTCAGGGGAGCTAAACTGGACATGGTACAGGTGGGCTGGTTCAGGGGAGCTAAACTGGACATGCTACAGGTGGGCTGGTTCAGGGGAGCTAAACTGGGCATGGTACAGGTGGGCTGGTTCAGGGGAGCTAAACTGGACATGCTACAGGTGGGCTGGTTCAGGGGAGCTAAACTGGACATGGTACAGGTGGGCTGGTTCAGGGGAGCTAAACTGGACATGCTACAGGTGGGCTGGTTCAGGGGAGCTAAACTGGGCATGGTACAGGTGGGCTGGTTCAGGGGAGCTAAACTGGACATGCTACAGGTGGGCTGGTTCAGGGGAGCTAAACTGGACATGGTACAGGTGGGCTGGTTCAGGGGAGCTAAACTGGGCATACTACAGGTGGGCTGGTTCAGGGGAGCTTACCTGGACATGTGGGGCAGCAGAGTCCAGGAAGGGACGTGGAATGTTGACAGTGTGAACACACCTCCGCCTGGCACTGGGGGTAGCCGTCCTTGCAGACACACGTGGTGCAGGGGTTCTCATGCCAGACCTCGGTGTCGTTGTGGACTTGGCCAGTCTCAGAGACACAGCCTGGTTGGAAAAGCAACAATGACCAGTAGACTTAAACAATGACCAGTGGACTAGGACAAGCAACACTGACCAGTAGACTTAAACAATGACCAGTGTACTTAAACAATGACCAGTGGACTAGGACAAGAAACACTGACCAGTAGACTTAAACAATGACCAGTGTACTTAAACAATGACCAGTGGACTAGGACAAGAAACACTGACCAGTAGACTTAAACAATGACCAGTGTACTTAAACAATGACCAGTGGACTAGGACAAGAAACACTGACCAGTAGACTTAAACAATGACCAGTGTACTTAAACAATGACCAGTGGACTAGGACAAGAAACACTGACCAGTAGACTTAAACAATGACCAGTGTACTTAAACAATGACCAATAGACTGGGACAAGAAACACTGACCAGTAGACTTAAACAATGACCAGTGTACTTAAACAATGACCAGTGGACTAGGACAAGAAACACTGACCAGTAGACTTAAACAATGACCAGTGTACTTAAACAATGACCAGTGGACTAGGACAAGAAACACTGACCAGTAGACTTAAACACTGACCAGTGGACTTAAACAATAACCAGTGGACTAGGACAAGAAACACTGACCAGTAGACTTAAACAATGACCAGTGTACTTAAACAATGACCAGTGGACTAGGACAAGAAACACTGACCAGTAGACTTAAACAATGACCAGTGTACTTAAACAATGACCAGTGGACTAGGACAAGAAACACTGACCAGTAGACTTAAACAATGACCAGTGTACTTAAACAATGACCAGTGGACTAGGACAAGAAACACTGACCAGTAGACTTAAACAATGACCAGTGTACTTAAACAATGACCAGTGGACTAGGACAAGAAACACTGACCAGTAGACTCAAACACTGACCAGTGGACTTAAACAATGACCAGTGGACTAGGACAAGAAACACTGACCAGTAGACTTAAACAATGACCAGTGGACTTAAACAATGACCAGTAGACTGGCACAAGAAACACTGACCAGTAGACTTTAACACTGACCAGTGGACTGGGACAAGAAACACTGACCAGTAGACTTAAACAATGACCAGTGGACTTAAACAATGACCAGTGGACTAGGACAAGAAACACTGACCAGTAGACTTTAACAATGACCAGTGTACTGGCACAAGAAACACTGACCATTAGACTTTAACACTGACCAGTGGACTGGGACAAGAAACACTGACCAGTAGACTTAAACAATGACCAGTGTACTTAAACAATGACCAGTGGACTAGGACAAGAAACACTGACCAGTAGACTTAAACAATGACCAGTGGACTGGGACAAGAAACACTGACCAGTAGACTTAAACAATGACCAGTAGACTGGCACAAGAAACACTGACCAGTGGACTGGGACAAGAAACACTGACCAGTAGACTTAAACAATGACCAGTGGACTGGGACAAGAAACACTGACCAGTAGACTTAAACAATGACCAGTAGACTGGCACAAGAAACACTGACCAGTAGACTGGGACTGGCACAAGAAACACTGACCAGTAGACTGGGACTGGCACAAGAAACACTGACCAATGGACTGGCACAAGAAACACTGACCAGTGGACTGGGACAAGAAACACTGACCAGTAGACTTAAACAATGACCAGTAGACTCAAACAATGACCAGTGGACTGGGACAAGAAACACTGACCAGTAGACTTAAACAATGACCAGTGGACTGGGACAAGAAACACTGACCAGTAGACTTAAACAATGACCAGTAGACTGGCACAAGAAACACTGACCAGTAGACTGGGACTGGCACAAGAAACACTGACCAATGGACTGGCACAAGAAACACTGACCAGTGGACTGGGACAAGAAACACTGACCAGTAGACTTAAACAATGACCAGTAGACTCAAACAATGACCAGTGGACTGGGACAAGAAACACTGACCAGTAGACTTAAACAATGACCAGTAGACTTAAACAATGACCAATGGACTGGCACAAGAAACACTGACCAGTAGACTGGGACAAGAAACACTGACCAGTAGACTTTAACACTGACCAATGGACTGGGACAAGAAACACTGACCAGTGGACTGGGACAAGAAACACTGACCAGTAGACTGGCACAAGAAACACTAACCAGTAGACTTAAACACTGACCAATAGACTGGGACAAGAAACACTGACCAGTGGACTGGGACAAGAAACACTGACCAGTGGACTGGGACAAGAAACACTGACCAGTGGACTGGGACAAGAAACACTGACCAGTGTACTGGCACAAGAAACACAGACCAGTGGACTTAAACAATGACCAGTGGACTGGGACTGGCACAAGAAACAATGACCAGTGGACTGGGACAAGAAACACTGACCAGTGGACTGGGACAAGAAACACTGACCAGTGGACTGGGACAAGAAACACTGACCAGTGTACTGGCACAAGAAACACAGACCAGTGGACTTAAACAATGACCAGTGGACTGGGACTGGCACAAGAAACAATGACCAGTGGACTGGGACAAGAAACACTGACCAGTGGACTGGGACAAGAAACACTGACCAGTGGACTGGGACAAGAAACACTGACCAGTGTACTGGCACAAGAAACACAGACCAGTGGACTTAAACAATGACCAGTGGACTGGGACTGGCACAAGAAACAATGACCAGTAGACTGGGACTGGCACAAGAAACACTGACCATAGACTGGGACTGGCACAAGAAACACTGAGCGTGGACTTACCTGTACATACAGGACAACACTGGCCATCTGGGACGACCATGAGACTACAGGCCAGCTTGGGACAGCTCTGCTCCCAGCACCTGTTGACCCCGTCTAGACACTGGCAGCTGGTGCAGTTGTCCACCTGCCACACCTGGCCATGGGACTTCTCTTGACCTTTGTAAACACAGGTCCGACTGTCATCTGTGGATCAAAACCTTCCGTCACTTTTCTGGTCTAATTCTGGCCCAGCTCCAGTTGTCTACTGGCCCAGCTCCCCTGGTATAATGGCCCAGCTCCCCTGGTCTACTACTGGCCCAGCTCCCCTGGTCTACTGGCCCAGCTCCCCTGGTATAATGGCCCAGCTTCCCTGGTCTAATGGCCCAGCTCCCCTGGTCTACTACTGGCCCAGCTCCAGTTGTCTACTGGCCCAGCTCCCCTGGTCTACTACTGGCCCAGCTCCCCTGGTCTACTACTGGCCCAGCTCCCCTGGTATAATGGCCCAGCTCCCCTGGTCTAATGGCCCAGCTCCCCTGGTATAATGGCCCAGCTCCCCTGGTCTAATGGCCCAGCTCCCCTGGTCTACTACTGGCCCAGCTCCCCTGGTCTACTACTGGCCCAGCTCCCCTGGTCTAATGGCCCAGCTCCCCTGGTCTACTGGCCCAGCTCCCCTGGTATAATGGCCCAGCTCCCCTGGTCTAATGGCCCAGCTCCCCTGGTATAATGGCCCAGCTCCCCTGGTCTACTGGCCCAGCTCCCCTGGTCTACTGGCCCAGCTCCCCTGGTCTAATGGCCCATCTCCCCTGGTCTACTACTGGCCCAGCTCCCCTGGTATAATGGCCCAGCTCCCCTGGTATAATGGCCCAGCTCCCCTGGTCTAATGGCCCAGCTCCCCTGGTATAATGGCCCAGCTCCCCTGGTCTAATGGCCCAGCTCCCCTGGTCTAATGGCCCAGCTCCCCTGGTCTACTACTGGCCCAGCTCCCCTGGTCTAATGGCCCAGCTCCCCTGGTCTAATGGCCCAGCTCCCCTGGTCTAATGGCCCAGCTCCCCTGGTCTACTACTGGCCCAGCTCCCCTGGTCTAATGGCCCAGCTCCCCTGGTCTAATGGCCCAGCTCCCTTGGTCTAATCACTCAACACTAGAGACACTGTGGGTGCGATACCAAGGAAAATGCTTTGAATTTAAAAATAACTTTCATGATAATAGGGGCCTCTCACATAACAAGGGCTGTTCACATAACAAGGGCTGTTCACATCCGTCAGGATACGAGTTTATCTTGGTGAGGTCACAGCAAGGTAATGTCATGTTGGACTAATAGGAAACAAGGCTTTATGAATGAGCGCGCTTGTGGGGAGGGCGGGGCTTACATTCCAGGCTGCTGACGTCAGACAGGATGGGTAGGGGGCCGTTCTCACACACCACGCGCTGTGGCCGTCCAACAAACACGATGTGGCCGTCCAACGAAACACGTCTATCAAGTCGTTTGGGCAAGATGACATAACATGGTGGATACTCAAGACAGTCTGACAAAAACTCTGGCCTGATGGAACCTGTGGTCAGTCTGATGGAACCTGTGGTCAGTCTGATGGAACATGTGGTCAGTCTGATGGAACACGTGGTCAGTCTGATGGAACCTGTGGTCAGTCTGATGGAACACGTGGTCAGTCTGATGGAACCTGTGGTCAGTCTGATGGAACATGTGGTCAGTCTGATGGAACCTGTGGTCAGTCTGATGGAACACGTGGTCAGTCTGATGGAACACGTGGTCAGTCTGATGGAACATGTGGTCAGTCTGATGGAACCTGTGGTCAGTCTGATGGAACATGTGGTCAGTCTGATGGAACCTGTGGTCAGTCTGATGGAACACGTGGTCAGTCTGATGGAACACGTGGTCAGTCTGATGGAACATGTGGTCAGTCTGATGGAACACGTGGTCAGTCTGATGGAACCTGTGGTCAGTCTGATGGAACACGTGGTCAGTCTGATGGAACACGTGGTCAGTCTGATGGAACATGTGGTCAGTCTGATGGAACATGTGGTCAGTCTGATGGAACACGTGGTCAGTCTGATGGAACATGTGGTCAGTCTGATGGAACCTGTGGTCAGTCTGATGGAACCTGTGGTCAGTCTGATGGAACACGTGGTCAGTCTGATGGAACACGTGGTCAGTCTGATGGAACATGTGGTCAGTCTGATGGAACCTGTGGTCAGTCTGATGGAACATGTGGTCAGTCTGATGGAACCTGTGGTCAGTCTGATGGAACCTGTGGTCAGTCTGATGGAACATGTGGTCAGTCTGATGGAACCTGTGGTCAGTCTGATGGAACCTGTGGTCAGTCTGATGGAACCTGTGGTCAGTCTGATGGAACCTGTGGTCAGTCTGATGGAACCTGTGGTCAGTCTGATGGAACACGTGGTCAGTCTGATGGAACACGTGGTCAGTCTGATGGAACCTGTGGTCAGTCTGATGGAACCTGTGGTCAGTCTGATGGAACCTGTGGTCAGTCTGATGGAACACGTGGTCAGTCTGATGGAACACGTGGTCAGTCTGATGGAACCTGTGGTCAGTCTGATGGAACCTGTGGTCAGTCTGATGGAACCTGTGGTCAGTCTGATGGAACATGTGGTCAGTCTGATGGAACATGTGGTCAGTCTGAACGAGCCACAACTGGAATGAGCTCACCTGCCGGACACTCGAACACGTGACAGCAGGTTCCGGGCAGACCCGTGGCGTTCTGGACAAGTCTGGGCTGTCCGTGCTGACACACGGGCAGACGACACAGCGACACATTGCAGACACACTGCCACGCCTGCTCCGGAAGGAGGAACAAGTTGTTGCCCTCGACGTCGTTGTACTGGGTGTCAGGGCTCGTCAAGTCTCTCCTTGTCAGTGTAGAGTCAGGGGGACACAACTGAGCTTCATAAACAGGCGGGCAGTTGCTTCCCTTACACGGCTGCTCCGGTACTTCTGGGGGGAAAGTTTACAATAGTACAATTAGGCAAAACGGCACAACAGTTGGGCAATAAGTCAAGTGGACAGGAAGTCAGGGGGACAGGAAGTCAGGTGGACATGAAGTGTGGTGGACATAAGGTGTGGTGGACAGGAAGTGAGGTGGACAGGAAGTGAGGTGGACAGGAAGTGAGGTGGACAGGAAGTCAGGTGGACAGGAAGTCAGGTGGACAGGAAGTCAGGTGGACAGGAAGTCAGGTGGTGTCTGGTGGACAGGAAGTGAGATGGATAGGAAGTCAGGTGGTGTCTGGTGGACAGGAAGTGAGATGGACAGGAAGTGAGGTGGACATGAAGTGAGGTGGACAGGAAGTGAGGTGGACAGGAAGTCAGGTGGTGTCTGGTGGACAGGAAGTGAGATGGACAGGAAGTCAGGTGGTGTCTGGTGGACAGGAAGTGAGGTGGACAAGAAGTGAGGTGGACATGAAGTCAGGTGGTGTCAGGTGGACAGGAAGTCAGATGGACAGGAAGTCAGGTGGACAGGAAGTGAGGTGGGCAGGAAGTGAGATGGACAGGAAGTGATGTGGGCAGGAAGTGATGTGGGCAGGAAGTGAGGTGGACAGGAAGTGAGGTGGTGTCAGGTGGACAGGAAGTCAGGAAGTCAGGTGGACAGGAAGTCAGGTGGACAGGAAGTCAGGTGGACAAGAAGTGAGATGGACAGGAAGTGAGGTGGGCAGGAAGTGAGGTGGGCGAATAGACAAGTATGTTGTCAGCTGACTTAAGGCCAACACACGAGTGTGTTGTAGCCTCGTATTACGTAACGGCCTTATCTATTTAGGTCATTGGGCCAGTAGAGTTACGTAACTGTTACTTCAGCCGTTTTAGGCGAGCCTAACTGCACCTTTTAATCGAACTGAAACAAACTTTTTCAATTCCGTTTGCGGGTACCACCTCGGCGGGCAGATCACTTTGCTACGAGCGAGATACCCTGGGTCACAGGGCTAAGACTAGTGTTGTATTGACCTTTACCCTCGGTTGTATTGACCTTTACCCCAGACTCCCACGCCGCACGGTGACTCACTACTTTGATAGCCCGCTTAAAATAGAACGCTTCTACGTTTTTCCTATAAATATTTGTTTCAAATCTTGATGCTATTTTTGGATCACGTGCTTTGTATGTCCCAGCCCGTAAACTAAAAGCCAAAATCTATTTCCAAAGGTCAGTGACAGGTAAAGTGGATTAACGGTCAGTGGCAGGGGAAGTGGATTAACGGTCAGTGACAGGTAAAGTGGATTAACGGTCAGTGACAGGTAAAGTGGATTAACGGTCAGTGGCAGGTCAAGTGGATTAACGGTCAGTGGCAGGTAAAGTGGATTAACGGTCAGTGGCAGGAGAAGTGGATTAACGGTCAGTGGCAGGTCAAGTGGATTAACGGTCAGTGGCAGGTCAAGTGGATTAACGGTCAGTGGCAGGTAAAGTGGATTAACGGTCAGTGACAGGTAAAGTGGATTAACGGTCAGTGGCAGGAGAAGTGGATTAACGGTCAGTGGCAGGTCAAGTGGATTAACGGTCAGTGACAGGTAAAGTGGATTAACGGTCAGTGGCAGGAGAAGTGGATTAACGGTCAGTGACAGGTAAAGTGGATTAACGGTCAGTGGCAGGAGAAGTGGATTAACGGTCAGTGACAGGAGAAGTGGATTAACGGTCAGTGGCAGGTAAAGTGGATTAACGGTCAGTGGCAGGTAAAGTGGATTAACGGTCAGTGACAGGAGAAGTGGATTAACGGTCAGTGGCAGGTAAAGTGGATTAACGGTCAGTGGCAGGTAAAGTGGATTAACGGTCAGTGACAGGTAAAGTGGATTAACGGTCAGTGACAGGTAAAGTGGATTAACGGTCAGTGGCAGGAGAAGTGGATTAACGGTCAGTGACAGGTAAAGTGGATTAACGGTCAGTGGCAGGAGAAGTGGATTAACGGTCAGTGGCAGCCAGTTTCTTCCAGGCAACTCTTCGTGCCCCCCCCCCCCCCCCACGCCCCGAAAATGTTTACCGCCCCCCCCCCCGGACGAAATGAAATTTATATAATTTAAATAGAAAATATATACTTTTAACAGTGTCCGCCCCCGAAGAAAGTCTACCGCCCCCCCCCCCCCCCCCCGAGAAAAACGTCTGGATTTGACATCACTCGAGTCAGCGGCGTAGGCAAGGGAGGGGGGGGGGTTAGGGGGGTTACAACCCCTCCCATGGACTCACACCGCTATATATATATATATATATATATATATATATATATATATATATATATATATATATATATATATATATATATATATATATATATATATAATATATATATATATATATATATAGTTAGCGGACAAAAAATTGGTTAAATTTATATGCGTTCTATATAATTCCATTTGGTTCGGTGGGGGGCGGCGGTAGACTTTCTTAGGGAAGTCAATACAAATATCAACCAATATCAACCAATATCAACCAATATCAACCAATATCAACCAATATCAACCAATATCAACCAATATCAACCAATATCAACCAATATCAACCAATATCAACCAATATCAACCATATCGCCTGGAAGGAAGTCTTCAAGTGTAGAACATCAAGACTGTTGCACTGCTTAATGTACTGGTCAACTGATTTTTTCACTGGTTAATGTACTGGTCAACTGTTTTTTTCACGGCTTAATGTACTGGTCAACTGTTTTTTTCACGGCTTAATGTACTAGTCAACTGTTTTTTTCACGGCTTAATGTACTGGTCAACTGTTTTTTTCACGGCTTAATGTACTAGTCAACTGTTTTTTTCACGGCTTAATGTACTGGTCAACTGATTTTTTCACTGGTTAATGTACTGGTCAACTGTTTTTTTCACGGCTTAATGTACTGGTCAACTGATTTTTTCACGGCTTAATGTACTAGTCAACTGATTTTTTCACGGCTTAATGTACTGGTCAACTGATTTTTTCACGGCTTAATGTACTAGTCAACTGTTTTTTTCACTGGTTAATGTACTAGTTTAACCTTTTTTTATGGCTTAATGTACTGGTCACAATAAAATAAATACCTTATGAGAAAAATACCGGTCAAAAATGCCTAGCAGCCTTTTTAGGGGAAAAGTGTGAGGAGGAGGGGGGGGGGGGGGGGTTGAAGGACCGGGAATTTAAAGTGGCGTAAATCGGAAGGGTTTTCATCCTGCCATTTCTCCCACCACATCCCCACCCCAGGTACATGGCAACCTGGTCAAACTCACTGACCATGACCTTGAAATACGCGGGTCCAAGACCTTGAAATGCATGAGTCTAAGCAACGAATGTCAACAAATCCCAAAGTTGGCATACCCGTGACGTATTTGCTAACATTTGTCTTTGTGTCAATAGACACCCCTCTCTCTTCTATCTCTCTCACATAATCTCACGGTTACCAAGGTATTAGGGAGCTAATATACCAAGGTGTTAGGGAGCTAATATACCAAGGTATTAGGGAGCTAATATACCAAGGTGTTAGGGAGCTAATATACCAAGGTATTAGGGAGCTAATATACCAAGGTGTTAGGGAGCTAATATACCAAGGTATTAGGGAGCTAATATACCAAGGTGTTAGGGAGCTAATATACCAAGGTATTAGGGAGCTAATATACCAAGGTGTTAGGGAGCTAATATACCAAGGTGTTAGGGAGCTAATATACCAAGGTATTAGGGAGCTAATATACCAAGGTATTAGGGAGCTAATATACCAAGGTGTTAGGGAGCTAATATACCAAGGTGTTAGGGAGCTAATATACCAAGGTATTAGGGAGCTAATATACCAAGGTGTTAGGGAGCTAATATACCAAGGTGTTAGGGAGCTAATATACCAAGGTATTAGGGAGCTAATATACCAAGGTATTAGGGAGCTAATATACCAAGGTGTTAGGGAGCTAATATACCAATGTGTTAGGGAGCTAATATACCAAGGTGTTAGGGAGCTAATATACCAAGGTATTAGGGAGCTAATTTACCAAGGTATTAGGGAGCTAATATACCAAGGTGTTAGGGAGCTAATATACCAAGGTGTTAGGGAGCTAATATACCAAGGTGTTAGGGAGCTAATATACCAGGGTGTTAGGGAGCTAATATACCAAGGTATTAGGGAGCTAATTTACCAAGGTGTTAGGGAGCTAATATACCAAGGTGTTAGGGAGCTAATATACCAAGGTATTAGGGAGCTAATTTACCAAGGTGTTAGGGAGCTAATTTACCAAGGTAATAGGGAGCTAATATACCAAGGTGTTAGGGAGCTAATTTACCAAGGTATTAGGGAGCTAATATACCAAGGTGTTAGGGAGCTAATATACCAAGGTATTAGGGAGCTAATTTACCAAGGTGTTAGGGAGCTAATATACCAAGGTGTTAGGGAGCTAATTTACCAAGGTATTAGGGAGCTAATATACCAAGGTGTTAGGGAGCTAATATACCAAGGTATTAGGGAGCTAATTTACCAAGGTGTTAGGGAGCTAATATACCAAGGTGTTAGGGAGCTAATATACCAAGGTGTTAGGGAGCTAATATACCAAGGTATTAGGGAGCTAATATACCAAGGTATTAGGGAGCTAATATACCAAGGTGTTAGGGAGCTAATATACCAAGGTGTTAGGGAGCTAATATACCAAGGTATTATGGAGCTAATATACCAAGGTGTTAGGGAGCTAATATACCAAGGTGTTAGGGAGCTAATATACCAAGGTGTTAGGGAGCTAATATACCAAGGTGTTAGGGAGCTAATATACCAAGGTGTTAGGGAGCTAATATACCAAGGTGTTAGGGAGCTAATATACCAAGGTGTTAGGGAGCTAATATACCAAGGTGTTAGGGAGCTAATTTACCAAGGTGTTAGGGAGCTAATATACCAAGGTGTTAGGGAGCTAATTTACCAAGGTATTAGGGAACTAATATACCAAGGTGTTAGGGAGCTAATATACCAAGGTATTAGGGAGCTAATATACCAAGGTGTTAGGGAGCTAATTTACCAAGGTGTTAGGGAGCTAATATACCAAGGTGTTAGGGAGCTAATATACCATGGTTCTGTGGAGCTAATATACCAAGGTATTAGGGAGCTAATATACCAAGGTGTTAGGGAGCTAATATACCAAGGTGTTAGGGAGCTAATATACCAAGGTGTTAGGGAGCTAATATACCAAGGTGTTAGGGAGCTAATATACCAAGGTGTTATGGAGCATATATACCAAGGTGTTAGGGAGCTAATATACCAAGGTGTTAGGGAGCTAATATACCAAGGTGTTAGGGAGCTAATATACCAAGGTTCTGTGGAGCTTAAATGCAACATGAAGGCCTATACAGTATCTGCCAATCGAGTGTAAATAGCATATTCAGAGGCGTAGCGAGGGAGGGCGGGGTGCGTATTGCACCGGGTGACACCATTTAGGGGGTGCCATCAAGGAAAAAATAGTAAAATATATACAGAAAAATGATAATTCAACTTAATTACATGTTTAGTTAGAGTGAGTTAAATAGGGCAAAGTTAACACCATGACGTAAACCTCCAACTGTAATTATGACCGACTAGATAAAAACATCGCTGTATTATCTGAGCACAGTTTAAAGCACTCACCCTGGGGGTGGAGGGGGTGAGGAGGTTAATTCAACTCAACGTAACAAAATATGCCTGAGGAAAACGGTTTGGTTGAGAACTGTAATTGTATATATATATATATATATATATATATATATATATATATATATATATATATATATATATATATATATATATATATATATATATATATATATATATATATATATATTCCATATTAGGTTCCACACAGAGTGACATCCGACCTCTCTACGCCACAGAGCATATGTATGGTGTGTACTGTAAGTAGCATATATATAGTGTGTAGTGTCAATAGCATATATATGGTGTGTAGTGTGAGTAGCATATATATGGTGTGTAGTGTGAGTAGCATATATATGGTGTGTAGTGTGAATAGCATATATATATGGTGTGTAGTGTGAGTAGCATATATATGGTGTGTAGTGTGAGAAGCATATATATGGTGTGTAGTGTGAGTAGCATATGTATGGTGTGTAGTGTGAGTAGCATATGTATGGTGTGTAGTGTGAGTAGCATATGTATGGTGTGTAGTGTGAGTAGCATATATGTGGTGTGTAGTGTGAGTAGCATATATATGGTGTGTAGTGTGAGTAGCATATATATGGTGTGTAGTGTGAGTAGCATATATATGGTGTGTAGTGTGAGTAGCATATATATGGTGTGTAGTGTGAGTAGCATATATATGGTGTGTAGTGTGAGTAGCATATGTATGGTGTGTAGTGTGAGTAGCATATGTATGGTGTGTAGTGTGAGTAGCATATGTATGGTGTGTAGTGTGAGTAGCATATGTATGGTGTGTAGTGTGAGTAGCATATATATGGTGTGTAGTGTGAGTAGCATATATATGGTGTGTAGTTTGAGTAGCATATATATGGTGTGTAGTGTGAGTAGCATATATATGGTGTGTAGTTTGAGTAGCATATATATGGTGTGTAGTGTGAGTAGCATATATATGGTGTGTACTGAAGTAGCATATATATGGTGTGTTCTGTAAGTAGCATATATATGGAGTGTAGTGTAAGTAGCATATGTATGTTGTGTGCCAGAAAAAAATAATCTAATTCTTGTATTGCTGTTATAGACAGGTTTATTGTCTCCATAAAAGTTTCCTACAATAGTTTATTGCCTTCCCCCGTCTGGATCACAAGCTGGGCCTTACCAGAGCGAGAACAGACCGTGTACACATGCGGGGGGGGGGGCGGGGGGGGGGGGGGGGGGCTGCCACAGACTGGATGGAATTATGGAATGTCATGCACAAACCAATGGAATGCCAGCAATGCTAGACACGGACGGTCAGGGTGAGGGTGGGGGGAGAGGGGGAAGGGACAACTTGTAATTAGTCTCTCCTTATTACCAAACAGGTTTGCTAGTTGCAGGCGTTAGAAGTACAAGGGGAGTGGGAGAGGGGTGTAACTGGAATTCATTTCTACAACATTCAGGTATCACCAACTGACAACACCCAGGTGACACCAACTGACAACATTCAGGTATCACCAACTGACAACACCCAGGTGACACCAACTGACAACAGCCAGGTATCACCAACTGACAACATCCAGGTATCACCAACTGACAACACCCAGGTATCACCAACTGACAACATCCAGGTATCACCAACTGACAACATCCATGTATCACCAACTGACAACACCCAGGTATCACCAACTGACAACATCCAGGTATCACCAACTGACAACATCCATGTATCACCAACTGACAACACCCAGGTATCACCAACTGACAACATCCAGGTATCACCAACTGACAACACCCAGGTATCACCAACTGACGAGACAACACCCAGGTATCACCAACTGACAACATCCAGGTATCACCAACTGACAACACCCAGGTATCACCAACTGACAACACCCAGGTATCAACAAATGACGAGACAACACCCAGGTATCACCAACTGACAACACACAGGTATCACCAACTGACAACACCCAGGTATCAACAAATGACGAGACAACACCCAGGTATCACCAACTGACAACACCCAGGTATCACCAACTGACAACACACAGGTATCACCAACTGACGAGACAACACCCAGGTATCACCAACTGACAACACTCAGGTATCACCAACTGACAACATCCAGGTATCACCAACTGACAACACCCAGGTATCACCAACTGACGCCACAACATCCAGGTATCACTAACTGACAACACTCAGGTATCACCAACTGACAACACCCAGGTATCAACAAATGACGAGACAACACTCAGGTATCACCAACTGACAACACCCAGGTATCACCAACTGACTACACCCAGGTGTCACCAACTGACAACACCCAGGTATCACCAACTGACAACACCCAGGTATCACGAACTGACAACATCCAGGTATCACCAACTGACAACACCCAGGTGTCACCAACTGACAACACCCAGGTGTATTAATGACGCTAGACTTGAGACCACGGGTTTAACCCAACAAAAAACATTATTCTTTAATTGCATGGGGTCGCGAGTTACTTCGTTGCTCGAAAAAGGGATCCCTACTCAAAAAAGAAAAAATGGGAACATCGCTTAAGACTTGCAATGTGATTTTAATTTTTTTTTAAATTATAAAAGTACGCCTCACATCGTCATAAAAAGTCCGACCCCCCCCCCCCCTCCCGTACATATAGCAGATCCAGTGGCGTAGCGAGGTCGGGTGTCACCCAGTGCGGCACTTAATGGTGTCACCCCCCCCCCCCCCCCAGAGGCGTAGCGACCCTTCCCGGGGACAAACTTTCAAATTTTCGATTTGCACCCCCCCTCAAACTTTCGATTTGCACCCCCCCTCAAGTTTTCGATTTGCACCCTCCCCTCAAACTTTCGATTTGCACCCCCCCCCCCCCTCAAGTTTTTTTCTATATATTTTGCTATTTTTTGCCTTGGTGTCACCCCCCCCCTCGCTACGCCGCTGAGCTGATGTACAAAGTAAGGAAGTTACCTTTACATATAGCAGATCTACAAAGTAAGGAAGTTACCTTTACATATAGTAGATCTACAAAGTAAGGAAGTTACCTTTACAAAGTAAGGAAGTTACCTTTACAAAGTAAGGAAGTTACCTTTACAAAGTAAGGAAGTTACCTTTACATATAGCAGATGTACAAAGTAAGGAAGTTACCGTTACGTATAGCAGATGTACAAAGTAAGGAAGTTACCTTTACATATAGCAGATGTACAAAGTAAGGAAGTTACCTTTACATATCCCGCCTCTCGACGTTTCCTCGTGGTCCGGGTAGACACACTGCAGATGTGGGGCGCAGGAGCCCAGCACCCCGAACACGCCCCCACAGCTCTGGTGCTCCAGTCGGGCACACTGAGGGCAGCAGCCACACACGTCCTTGACCGTGCCGCCCAGGCATGACGTCGTGTTGGGGCACAGCTCGGGCTCACACGGGGCGCATGACAGAGCCCAGGCACTTCCGGTTAGAGTAGAGTAGATGATGAGAGAGGAGATGAGGCGCAGCAGTGGCAGAATCTCCTTCATGGCTGGTAGTGCTGCTAGTGCTGCTAGTGCTGGTAGTGAAGTGCCCTGTGCCGCCATGTTGGATACACATGGGTGGCGTCTAGCTCTGCAAGAGTACAAACATAGTAGTCTACATACACCAACTATATAGGTGGTAGTGTACATACACCAACTATATAGGTGGTAGTGTACATACACCAACTATATAGGTGGTAGTGTACATACACCACGATAGGTGGTAGTCTACATACACCAACTATATAGGTGGTAGTGTACATACACCACGATAGGTGGTAGTGTACATACACCAACTATATAGGTGGTAGTGTACATACACCAACTATATAGGTGGTAGTGTACATACACCACGATAGGTGGTAGTCTACATACACCAACTATATAGGTGGTAGTGTACATACACCACGATAGGTGGTAGTCTACATACACCAACTATATAGGTGGTAGTGTACATACACCACGATAGGTGGTAATCTACATACACCAACTATATAGGTGGTAGTGTACATACACCACGATAGGTGGTAGTGTACATACACCAACTATATAGGTGGTAGTGTACATACACCACGATAGGTGGTAGTGTACATACACCACGATAGGTTGTAGTCTACATACACCAACTATATAGGTGGTAGTGTACATACACCACGATAGGTGGTAGTGTACATACACCACGATAAGTGGTAGTGTACATACACCACGATAGGTAGTAGTGTACATACACCACGATAGGTAGTAGTCTACATACACCAACTATATAGGTGGTAGTGTACATACACCACGGTAGGTGGTAGTGTAAATACACCACGATAGGTGGTAGTGTACATACACCATGATAGGCAGTAGTCTGCATACACCAACTATATAGGTGTTAGTGTACATACAATGTCCTGAATAGTATTATTAGACCTATTAATAATGATAGTAATAAGTTAGACCATCACCCATATTTAAATGAACAACTACACTGACGCTAAAAGAAACTTTTTACACAGACGTCTTGGTGTTGTTTGTGTGCTCTGGGTTATTTTAGGAATCCGTACCGCTAAACGTCATCAGAGAAAATGGCTAAAAATAGTTTGTTGACGGAATATCCTACCAAGCTAATTTTCGTTAGAATAAAAGCTGTTATCCGATTGGTTAATTTAAAGAGGTATTTGATGTAGGGGTGGGTGCGCGAGATAACAGCAGACGCCGAGTGTTGTCTGGTCTACACAACGTTACTGGTGTGTACAACAACAATGTCCTGGTGGGGGGGGGGGGGGGTACAACAACAATGTCCTGGTGGGGGGGGGGGGAGGGGGTACAACAACAATGTCCCTGACTGATGACCTACAATGTCTTACACTGACCCAACTGTATTGATGAGAACTGTGAAATTTTAAAGTAGCGTGTTTTACTAAGAACATAAGAACTAGAATTTTTTACGTCTGCAAACAATACAAGAATCTATATCGAATTATTCTGTTGGGGGGGGGGTGCAGTAGGGCTAATATGTCAGTAAACAAGGACACATGTTTCCGTGTGTAATCTTGTTAGTAAACAACTGAACGTTATGTGTGTAATCTTGTTAGTAAACAACTGAACGTTATGTGTGTAATCTTGTAAGTAAACAACTGAACGTTATGTGTGTAATCTTGTTAGTAAACAACTGAACGTTATGTGTGTAATCTTGTTAGTAAACAACTGAACGTTATGTGTGTAATCTTGTTAGTAAACAACTGAACGTTATGTGTGTAATCTTGTTAGTAAACAACTGAACGTTATCGCCAGCCTGCGCACAAGTGCTGAAAGTCTTGGTCTAGTGAAAGTTACAGCAAGTCTTGGTCTAGTGAAAGTTACATCAAGTCTTGGTCTAGTGAAAGTTACATCAAGTTTTGGTCTAGTGAAAGTTACAGCAAGTCTTGGTCTAGACGACAGGTCGTGGTCAGCTCACAATCAACGGTTGGGTCGTCTGGTAAACATGACCTGCAGCCTGTCGAGTTGTGTGTGTGTGTGTCACTCAGTGTGTTATCAACTGTCAGTATCTGATCTGTGTGTGAAATCATTACTGGCCGCATATGTGTGTCCTTCACCGTTTGATTAACTTTGTCTTTAAAAGAACGTTAAATTACGAAATGGCCTTACCTTAGCACTGTCACATCTCCTTGATCGGTAAAGTAGTATTCAGAAATACACAAGTAGATTCGCGGACCAATCTAACCAGTTTTCGAGGTAGCCTCCAGCCCCTAATGAAAATATTCCACAGGTTTTTACAAGCCGTCTGCTAGAGTTTCACACAGCAAGAAATCGCGAGACGGCTAGCCGACTGCTGAAAACCTTAGCCCAGTCTTTCAAGCTTAGGAAAAATAAAAAAAACAAATAGTTCTGGCGCATGCGCAGACCGCCTACGCCACACAAATGAGGCGCCTGGCAGACCAAAACTTTGTGGCGGGTACATTCTTTTTCTTTCTTGCGCAACTTTTATAAATAGACTAACAGTACGTCTTCGTCCGAAATAGAATACGCAAATAACCACCAGTTAGCAATTTTTACACCTAAACTAGTTCGGTTATTAAATTTGAAGTATGGCCGATTTCTACACCTAGATGTCAATTTTTTTTTAAAAAGAGCTGCATCCTGATTGATGTTCGCTGGAGCAGCCAAGTGGAAAAACAGGTTTAAAAATAACTGTTGTGTTTTGTTTGTTTTTTGTTTGTTTGTTTTTTTTTTAGGGGGGGGGGGGAGAATTTATTAAGGCCTTGGTCTGATGCAAAAGTTGTAAAGTTGTATGATAATTTCAGATGATAGTGAGAGATTCCCCCGTGTTACCTCGGTGGATTTAAAATATAATGATGTTTAAATCTCGAAAGACGATCGATAAAATGAGTTAAGCACTCTGTGTAGGCCCAATATATACAATATAATATAATATATATATATAATATATATATATTATATATATATATATATATATATATATATATATATATATATATATATATATATATATATATATATATATATATATATATATGTAACTAGTGTAGGCCTAGTTACTGGTCACGATTGTTAAGAACGCAATAGTGCAGGTGTTGGACTGATAAGCCAACTGATAACGATCATAAAGCCACGGCGTATTTTGGGAAGGATACGACAAGCGCTGTCAACTTTGACACGACTTGGCTGATGAAACAGTGCAGGTGTTTTATTAATCGGACTGTACGACAGAAGCGGCGTAATTAACATTCTGATGCAACGATTAGAATCGATTACGATTACGATTACGAATCCGATTACGAATACGAAGGGATATATAGGGAGACAGAACGGGGATGAGATGAGTCGAGATCAGTTCAGTCAGTCAGTAGGAGAGTGGCAGTATCAAGTTGGTTATTGAACGGGTTAGCCGTATTGTGTTAATAAGGACGATAGACATGTGCATTCAGTTATGTGAAGACTAGTGAGGACTGTTGGGGGTCAGTTGATTCCGACTATTATTGTGAAGCATTTCTTTTGATTCATTCTATTATTGTGAAACATTTCTTTGATTCATGTAATAAAAGGATCAATAGTGAACCTGCATCTTCGAGTATCTATACTGTGGTCGATGTTGTGTAGAATGAGTGGTTAGACTCGTTAACATTTGGCACTACAGGCAAATAGACTCGTTACATTTGGCGTCGTCGGCAGAGGAATCCAATTAGACCAGCCGCTTTAGGCACCCATAGTCAACCTAGTTCATAACTGTGTTTAGTGTGTGTGTGAATTCGGACATTCAGGAACAGTGAAAATTGAGGAACGAGGAAAATTTTTTCATACACACACGGTAAGAAAGGTCTTTTTTATTTGAAGGAAATAAATAAAAGGGAAGACTGAAATCAGAATTGAGGAAATTGAAAAGAACAGAGATGAGACACCTTTCATTATCATTCTGGCTTGGTGTCACATGCTCTTTTGCTGCTGCAAGCATGTGGCTCAGTATACCCCTAGTTGTAGCACCAGCCACCCTGGGGACAGCTATGGGGCTGACCACCAGCATCCAGATAATTGGCATTGGTATCTCCAACTTGGTTGTGGGACAAATACTAGGCAAAGATGACAACCAAGATATAGATGGAACTCTTAGACACTGGAAATGTGTCATGATCTCCCTGTTGGGCAACACTATCTGCTGCATAGCTGCAACATTTTTCCTTAATGGGAATGACAGACGCAGGAGTGGTATTTTAAATATCAGAAAAGAACAAAAACTCCTGCTGGCCCAACAATCTGAGTCAGATGAAGATAGCCCAGAGATAGGCAACGGTGAAGATGACCCTTTGCCTCCAGATGGACCAGGACAAAATTTGGACAAAAAGCCGATCCATATTGTGGTCCTGCCCAGTGAGTCCCACATCAACAAATTTTACGGGGACGGTGATCCAACCTTAACCAACAGGTTCAGTGAAGAGGTCAGGGCTGCCTGGGCCTCGAGATACATGTCACCAGAGGAAAGATTAAGACTGCTGATGGGCAGTATAGGGGAGACGGTTAGGGCAGAGGTCAAATGCCACGATAAAACCATCCAATCAGATCCAGATAAGGTGCTGGATCTAATTAAGGAGACCTTTGGGGAGAGACGGTCGGGATCGCAACTGCTATCGGTGTTTGTAGGTATAAAGCAGAGACTGGCGGAGAGTGTGATGGAATATTCACACCGAATGAACAGGGCCTTTGAAGCTGTAAAAGGCAAAATACCCGACATGGATGCGCGCCTGCTGAGGGACCATTTCATCGAGGGGTTGGCGACCCCTATGGCAAGAAGATATTTGAAAGAAGAGGTCTACAAAGACCCACAGTTGACCTTCCTTCAGGTCAGGAACTCAGCGATCCGCAGGTCCGAGGATGAGGACCAATCGAACTGTTCGGTAGACAAAGTCTCGGTGCCGGAACAGAAACAATCCCCACCCACAGGGACCGGCACGATGGAAACCATGATGGCCCGACTGTTGGCCCACCTGGATAAGGTTGGCCAACGATTGGAGAGGTTAGAAAGCAGGTCAACAGCTGAGAATCAGGGCAAAAACGGGACAAAACATGGTCAGGTTGGACAGCCGCGACCTGCTGGTCCATCGCTCCGGTGGACGGCTGACGGTCGACCAATCGGCTTGTCCTGCTCTCAACCCGGACATGTGGCACGGTACTGTCCGGTGAAACGATCGCCCTCTGTAAGGCAAGACAAGGCTACAGAGTGGCGAGGTTATGGCTTAAGAAACAAAATGGGACAAACAATGAAAGAGTCTCAAACAGGACTTGAAGAGAAATTATCAGATATTGAAAAAGAACTTCAAATTACACAAGGAAAATTAGATTTGAAGCGTTCTGAACTTCAGAATTGTGAAACTAAGCTAACAGATACTATAGCCTTGGTGGAAGAACTTAAGAATTCAAAAGACTTGTTAATAATAGAAAAAATGAACTGTGAAATGAACTTGGATGTTGAAAAGTTTCAAGTGAACAATTTGTTGGCAGAGAAAAATTATGATAAGAAAGAAATTGGTAAACTTAAGAATGAGATCTCAATGTTAACCATGAAACTGGATAGGGAAAGTTCATGCAAATTAAAAGCACAGGAGAAATGTTCATCTTTAAAGTGTCTGTTAGCTGAAGAAGAAAATAAAAACATGAGACAACAGAACAGTGTTGGCAAACTAGAAGAAATGATAGAAAAAGAAAGGCTATTGAATCAACAGTTAGAAAAGCAAGTATTAGAACTAATGAAAAAGGGTGAAAATAATACACTTCTTATAGCAGATGAAGAAAAAGAAGTAGAAGTCTTGCACATTTCTATTGAAGAAGTAGAGGTGATGCAAAACGGGCAGACTGTGGTGGAGCACATATCCACAGAGCCCCGTCATATGGACATTAGTGATTTTAATTGCCTTAATAATAAAGAGATACGAGATGCCCAGAGAACGGATAGCGGGTTACAGCCGCTATTGAAATACGTCCAGGAACAAAAATTCCCAAGAAGAAGGGAAAGAGAACAATTTGGTCGAGAAACAAAGAAAATACTGAGTCAGTGGGACCGTCTCAGTATAAAGGATGGTGTTCTCATGCGGAGAATTCATGACCAAATAGACGGGACAATACACCAGGTGGTGGTGCCTGGACAGTTACGAGAAGAAGTGCTAAGGTTGGCACATGACAGGGCAGGACACCAGGGTCAGGACAGGACGCACAAAATATTACGACGGCGGTGTTACTGGCCCAATATGGAAATGGAGGTCAAACGCCATTGTGAGGCTTGTGTTAGGTGTCAGCATGCGAAAATGCCAGTTGTCAAAATGAGACAGCCATCAGGACACTTACTGGCGACAAAACCACTAGAGATTGTGGCTATGGACTTTACGTCGTTGGAGCAATCATCGGATGGGACGGAACATGTGTTGGTAATGACTGATGTATTCACCAAATGGACTGTTGCGGTGCCCACACGAGATCAGACTGCCAAAACAGTGGCAAAGGTCTTAATAGAACATTGGTTCATCAAATATGGCATACCAAGACAATTACACTCTGACCAAGGAAGGGCCTTCGAGTCAGAAGTAATTAACCAACTGTGCAGCCACTACGGGATCAACAAATCTAGAACAACCACATTTAATCCGAAAGGAAACGGACAGTGCGAGCGGTTCAACCGCAGCATGCATGATTTGCTGCGTACGCTAGAACCTGAACAGAAAAAACGTTGGCCTGATTTTCTCCCAGAGTTGGTATATCTATACAACTGCACCCCCCATGCCACAACCGGCTTTTCGCCACACATGTTACTGTTCGGACGGGAGGCTCGACTCCCTCTTGACTTGTTCCTAGGGAAAAAGGAAAGTATGACTGGCTCATACACCGCACTGGAATATGTGAATGAACATATGAGACGAATTAGAGAAATGTACAGGGTAGTACAGGAAAGACTAGAACATGAAGCACGGCGAAGGGAACCGCCGGTACAGACAAAGGACCCGCCACTCAAACTGAACGACAGGGTATTACTGCGTAGCCACCCGTTAGGCAGAAACAAAATCCACGACCTCTGGGGACAGGAGATATGGCAAGTCGTGGAGATGCCTAAAGTAGCAGGTGGCCCCTTTAAGATAAGACCCATCGATCACACCAAACCGGATCGGTGGGCGAATATTGCTCAATTAAAGAAATATTGTCATAGTCAAGAAGAGCAGTTACACACAAGGAAACCTAAGACAATTAGGGAATCGGAAACTATAACGGAAATTCACATACCCATCCCGGAACCATGTCACCATCAAAAGCACAACAGCGATACACAAGGGGAGGATAACGGCAACAATGAG